CAGCTCCTTCGATCCTTCATACAACAAGGCAAATTCCCGAGCTGTTAGTTGACCAAATATTTCCTCTGATTTTACAGCATCCTCAGCAATCCAAAACTAACATGTTTTTACATGACTGTTGCCAGGTAACTAACTGCTTCAGACTGCTTGTTTTCAGGTAATCAACTTAATAAGTCATAAGGCTTAACCCATAAGGTTTAACTTCGAATACTTCCTCTCGTGTATATGTTGCGTGACGAAAAATTCACTGATGGCGTATATATAGCATTTCTGATGAAAGGAGTGAGTATAGGGACACTGAGAAAGAAGGAAATGGTATAGATAATAATTACTGATAATAACAGATATCTCCCTTCCCATCTTTAGCCATGAGAATACGGGTTTCTATTTCTCATATTCATTTATCTTTACTTATAGTGTAGTTAACAGTATTCGTTTACATATTTCTAGTCATAATTCCTTAAAAATGAATAGAAGTAAAAATCAACAGCTGAACGTCCATCGCCTGAGCCTTCGTTCCGATCCGTCGTCAGATCGTCACACATCATTCAAAACTCAAAACATTTTTAGCCTCAAAGCTTTCGGCATTTCATGAACGTCTTCCTGTAAAATATGGACAATAACCATCTGTAGAGTAATGACTAGCGCTAAATAATGAAGAGCGAAATAGTCTCCTTTGCCGAACCGAAGCCAGTTGTGAACCCAAAGATCGAAACACCAAAGAAGCTGACTTTCTGAAGCCCATTTCGACCTGTGAATGAACGGCCTCGTCTTTAGTTTGACGTGGTGGTAATAGTATCAGAAGTATTAATATTATTATTAGCATTGTTACCGCAGTTATTTTATTCATGATCATTATTATTGTTATTATTACTAATATTTTCATTACCATTATCATCATCATCATTATTATTATCACTTTTACCATTATCATTACCATTATTATCATCATCCTTATTATCATCATTATTATTATTATTAAAATCACTATTGTCGTTATTATTAGTATTATTGTTAGTATCTCTATTAATATCATTATTTACATTGTCATTACTAACTTTATTATCAATATCTATCATTTTAATTACTATTATCATTATCATCATTACTATTACCATTAGCATTCTGATTATTACCATTATCATTATCATTGTTGTTACGGCTGTCATCTTTGCTATTATTATTAGCATTGTTGATACTATTATTTGTAGTATTTGCAGCATGAATATCAGTATTGACATAAGTATTATCATAATCGTCAATATCAGTATCGTTATTGTTTTTTTTTTCTGGAATCATTGATTATTGTTATCATAGTTATCATTACAATCAGTTATCGCTACTATCGTAATCCTAAGAAAATATAATCTTATTGTCGTTATCATCACTATCACAATTGCCATCACTTTAACCATTACCTCCGATCACTGTCATCATTATTGCAATCACTATTAAAGGAGTCATTGAAATTATGACGAAAATTATGCCAATGATTATCATCACTATTATCAAAACGCATCAGTATTGGTTGAATGGTAACAGTATCATTATTTCATATATGTGTACCTACCTTTCATTAACATACTTGCATTACATGTCGTGTAATAAATTCATCACTAATTCAGAATTATTATAATCGACATTATCGTTGTTAGCGAAGTTGGTATTTGCGCTACAGCCCTAATTTTGCTAATCGCGAAAGCAGTTCTCATTTTCATTATTAGAAATCTATTTCTCACCGCTAAAACCATCAGTCATAACAGTGACGTCACAACTTCCATCATGTCGGCGAGTATATAATGGAGCTCCTCCAACGGCCGAGCACACAATTCTCTCAGCTCCTCTGCAACCAACATCAACATGAGAGTGAGTGGCTCTTGTCTAGTCTTGCGAGCTATTGCAGTTGATATTCTCTTTGCACAGTTTCTTTTGATACATTGACCTCAACGTTTCTGTATGTGTTTTTTTTAGCGTATGATTAATCTAGTAAGCTATCTAGAACAGTGGTTCTTAACCTGGGGGGCGCACCCCTCAAGGGGGGCTTCAGTATTTTCCAAAGGGGGGCGCAAGCCCTTGGAAAAAAGGCAGTAATTTCACTAATTATCTTTGTTATTCTCTTAACGAGAGCATGGTCACATAATGGAAAGCTTAATCATAATGCCATTCATTATAATTCTCCTTAAAATCATTAAGGGAATTTTATTTACAGATGCAAGGGAGGCGTGGAGGGAAGGGCAAATAAGGGGGCCTTGGTAGTTAAAAGGTAAAGAACCACTGGTCTAAAACTTTATCACGATTTCGTGTGGTGCCTTTTTCATTTTTTGTATTTTGTTGTATTTTCCTGCAAGGAGAATTCTCACAATTTCTTGCTTATCAATATCCCTGGTGAGGCGATGAGAACGAAATGCAAGTCAGAATTACTCAGTTCCCTCACTAGATTCCCTTCGTCCACATACATTCCTGCGCTTTTCATGAGCCTGTCTCCCGCAGCTGATCCTCGTAGTGGGCGCCCTCGCGGCCGTGGCCTCCGCCGTCCCCCGTCCCGACTCTCCTCCCGTCTACGGCGCTCCTCCTCCGACCTACAAGCAGCCAGGAATGCCCTTCGACTTCGCCTACGCCGTCCAGGATGACTACTCAGGCAACAACTACGCCCACCAGGAGACCAGCGACGGTCACGTCACCTCCGGATCGTACAGCGTGGCTCTTCCCGACGGCCGAACCGAGATCGTGGAATTCACCGCCGATCACGACAACGGCTACGTCGCCAACGTCGTCTACGAGGGGGAGGCCTCCTACCCCGCCCCTGCCCCCTCCTATCACCCCGCCCCCTCCTACCCTGCTCCACCACCCCCACCAACCTACGCCTAAACGCTCTACCTACACGTGAGCAGGATCTGGACGGGACAACTCAACGAACGACCACCAAATTCACACCCAAGTCAATCCAAATGAACACCACTGCATCTTGCGGACCCAACCTCACCAAACGTCATTCACCAGTGACTCATGAAGCTTTCTGACTCAACGTTTCACTCCTGCAAGCACTCGTCCCGTCCGGCCCAGTTCCTGCTTGCTTTCCCCGACATATCGCGTCCCTCTCTATCCTTCAACGTTATTGCTGTTATGGGTTATACTCCTTTTAATATATTCCTTTTTTAACGTGTTAAATTATTTTTGTAAATAAAGGCATATTTACGAGAATAAAAAATCTTTTAAAAACAATTTTTTTCATAATGACCGAATCTGAAATGTGAAGTTAAAAGCTACTTACATTTATGCGAAGTTTTACCAAAAGTTAAATCTGTCAGTTCGTCTCTCTCTCTCTCCCTCTCTCTCCCTCTCTCCCCCCCCCTCTCTCTCTCTTTCTCTCTCTCTCTCTCTCTTCATCACTTCGCATGCCTTCTCTCGTTTATGTGTTACATGAAGAAAATATGCATCGATGGCTAATGTTTCTAATTAAATAAATGATTATGAAGAGACTATCTGATTCCCGTCCCAATTTAGCTACATAAATACGAGCTTCTATTTTTCATTATCATTACTTTATTATGTATCAAATCATTAAGAAGATAAAAATAACAAAATGAATTCGGACACAATGCCGACTCAACAGCATCCAGCACCTGAGCCTTCGTTCCGATCCGTCGTCAGATCGTCACACATCATTCAAAACTCAAAACGATTTTAGCTGCAAAGCCTTTGGCATTTCATGACCGTCCTCCAGTTAAATATGGACAATAACCAACTGTAAAGTAATGAATAACGCTAGATAATGAAGAGCGAAAAAGGTCTCCCTTGCCGAGCCGAAGCCAGTCATGAACCCAAAGATCGAAACACCAACGAAGCTGACTTTCTGAAGCCCGTTTCGACCTGTGAGTGAACGGCCTCATCTTAGGTTTGAAGCAATATGATCATTATCATTAGCAGTACTATTAGTATCAGTATTGTTATGACTGTCATTATCGTTTTAGTTTTCATCATCACTATTATAGTTGTTATTACTGATGTTTGTATTATTATAATCATGATCATTATCTTCACTATTATTATTATTATTATTATTATTATTATTATTATCACTACGATTATTACTATTATCATCACTATGATTAATACTATCATGACTATTATGATTGTCATTGTTGTCCTCATAATGAGCATCATTACCATTATTATCATTATTACTATCATTGTTTTACTGTTAGTATTATTGTTATTATCTTTATCATTATCATCATTAGCATAATTATGATTAGCATTATCACTATTACTGTTATTACCATTATCATTATTAGCGTTACTATTGGTACTACTAATACTATTATTCATGTACTCATTATCGTTATTATCATCTATTTTTGTGATTGTTATTATCTTAATTATCATTATCTTTATATTTTATTATTATTATTACTACTTTATCAATATTACTATTGCTGTCATCATTATTTTTAAGATTATTATCAGTTGTACTAATATGAGTATTAGTTTTGTGGTTATCATCATCGGCTTTATTGCTTTGTTCTCAACAGTGTCTTTATCATTATTGCTAATTTCGTTGGGATCATTATCATCCTGATTATTACCACATAGTTATCATTACCATCATTATAATCACTGCCACATTCGCCATCACTTTCATCATTTTCTCCGCCGGTATCTTCATTATTCTAATAACCACTAAAATGACTATGGATAAGTATATGTTGATCTCTAAATCTCAAAATCTATTCGTATTGAGTGGGTAACAGTATCTCCTTTGTTTTTATGTGTATCTACCTTCATTACCATATTTGTATTAAATACCATATACAGAATTCTTCACTAATATAGTATTAGCATCACTTACATTATCGCTGTTCGGTATGTTGGTATTTGCACTACCGCCCTAATTTTACTCTTCGCGAAAGCAGTTCTCATTTACATTATTAGAAATCTATTTCTCACCGGTAGGACCATCAGGCATAACAGTGACGTCACAACATCCATCACGGCGGCGATATAAAGTGGCTCCTCCTTCGGCCGAGCACCACAGTTCCCTCAGCTCCTCTGCAACCAACATCAACATGAGAGTGAGTGGCTATTGCAGATGATATTCTCTTCGGATGCCCTTTGACCTTAACTTTACTGTAAAGTTTATAGAGTAAGATTGATATAGTATACAGACTAGAACTTCTTTGTCTTTTGTGACTCAGTTTGTAGCATTTTTCTGCAAGGAGAATTCTCACATACAATTCCAGTCCACGCTAATCTATCGCAATTCTAGGTCATTTCTTGTTTATCAGTATCCCTGGTGTGGCGATGAGAACTCGAAATGCAACAGTCAGAATTACTTGGTTCCCCCACTAGATTCCCTTCGTCCACACCCATTCCTGCGCTTTTCATGAGCCTGTCTCCCGTAGCTGATCCTCGTAGTGGGCGCCCTCGCGGCTGTGGCCTCCGCCGTCCCCCGTCCCGACTCTCCTCCCGTCTACGGCGCTCCTCCTCCGACCTACAAGCAGCCAGGAATGCCCTTCGACTTCGCCTACGCCGTCCAGGATGACTACTCAGGCAACAACTACGCCCACCAGGAGACCAGCGACGGCCACGTCACCTCCGGATCGTACAGCGTGGCTCTTCCCGACGGCCGAACCGAGATCGTGGAATTCACCGCCGATCACGACAACGGCTACGTCGCCAACGTCGCGTACGAGGGGGAGGCCTCCTACCCCGCCCCTGCCCCCTCCTACCATCCTGCCCCCTCTTACCCCGCCCCCGCTCCCTCCTACCCTGCTCCCCCTCCCCCACCCACCTACGCCTAAACGCTCTACCTACACGTGAGCAGAATCTGGACGGGACAACTCAACGAACGACCACCAAATCCACACCCAAGTCAAGCCAGACGACCGCCACTGCGTCTTGCCTCAACCTCCCGGACACAACCTCATCAAACGCCATTCACCAGCGACTCGTGAAGCTTTCTGACTCACCGTTTCACTCCTGCAAGCACTCGTCCCGTCCGGCCCAGTTCCTGCTTGCTTTCCACGACTTATCGCATCGTCGCGTCCCTCTCCATCCTTCGACGTTCTTGCTGTTATGAGTTATAGACCTTTTTAATATATTCCTTTGATATATTCTTAACTATTGCCATATTCAATTCAAAGTGCTCATAGATGACTGTCACTTGGCACTTGAATCATGTTAAATCATTCTTGTAAATAAAAGCATCTATACGAAAACTCTTTTGATCTTTTCAAAGCAAACTTTATCGTAATGAATGAATCGGGAATTTGTTGAGCTTCAGAGAATGTTTTATCAGATACTGAATCAAACAATTTGTCTTTCTCTCTCTCTCTCTCTCTCTCCCTTAATTCTTTCCAAATCTACTCATTCTGACCAGAAAATCCCGAGAAGATACTTGGCCCGATACATATCCCTTATTTCTCTACTAAAGATTCACAAACTTTCTTCTCGCCTGAAAACCGTCTTGCTTTATACTAACATGACTGATTACCTTTTGTCAAGCTATTCCGAGACATATGCATCACCCCTGCCAACACTAATTGCTTTGGCGTCTGTCGAAACGTTTGATCCGTAATGCATAACTTCGAATGCTCTCTCGGGCATTGGTAGCACGGAGAATAACTGAATGAGTAAATGGAGACTTAAAAAATAAGATAGTGTAAATGGTACAGTCAGAAAATCTATCTCTTCCCATTTTTGGCTACTGGGAAACTTGTCATTTGTCATTATTTAATTCATTCGTCAATGTCTATAATTAACTATTTTTATTTCGGACAACATCCAGATCCGAAAGTGTATATTCGCCGCAAAATCCCTTGCAATTTCACGAACGCACTCCAGCAAAAGATGAGTGACAAATAACAAACTCTACAGCGATAAACACCAGAAAATAAATAACGAAGTAGCTGGTCTCCCTCGCCGAACCGAAGCCAGCCGTGAACCTAAGGATAGAAGCACCAGAGAAGCTGATTCTGCGAGGCCCGTTTCGTCCTTAGCGTAACGTTGAATTTGGTAGTTGTTGTTGTAGTAGTTATATTGATATTAGTATCATTACCGTTATTTTTATCCTCGCTGACATCATCATTATTGATATTGTTATGCTGTTGTTATAATCATCGTTATAATATTTGACTATCATTATTATCGTTATTATATTTTTTTGTCATTATCATTATCATTATTACCATCTTCATTTATATTATTAACAATATCAGTATTATCATTACTTTTTTATTTTTATCATTATCATTATTATTATTCTTTAAAATCATTACCATTGTTATTATCATTATTTGCCAGTTATTATTATTTTTATTATCTTTATCATCATTATCATCATTCATTATTATCATCTTCATTACAGTTACTATCATTATTTTATTATCGTTATTATTTTTATTGTTGTCATTGCTGTTGCTTTTTATCATTGCTATTATTATTATTATCAGTGTTTTATTGCTGTTATTGTTGGTTTGTTGCTGGTGTTGTTACTTATCTTCATTATTATCATCATTATCTATCACTATTATCATTATCATTATTATTATTGATATCATTATTATTATTATTATCATCATTATTATTATCAGTATTATCATTACTACTATTATTATTAGCATTATTATTATTGTCATTATGATGATTATTATTATTGTTATTATCATTATCATCATTGCTATTATTGTTATTATTATCATTATCTTAAAAATTGTTTTTTTATGGTTGTTATTGTGGTTGTTGCCAATATCATTAGCATTTTTATCATCATTATCGCTATCATTTCTATCATTCCTATTTTTTATTGTTATTATCATTATCATTATAATCATCATTGCTATAATCATATATTTCTGATTGTTGCGATTATCATTATCATTACTATGATTGGTATTGTTATTATTGACATGTTGATTGTTATTGTTATAAGTTGTTATTATCGTCACAGTAATCACTGATATAAAAAGTATAAAAAAAAAAATTACCATTCTCTCCATAATTATCATTATCATAATCAGTACTAGAACGACTACCTGTCATTATCATCACCATCACCATCACTGGTAATCTATCTTCAATGTCATACTTGCATTACATATCATGTAAAAAAAAAATCATTACTAATAGGCTAATATAAACTTAATTCCTACATTACTTTTGTTAGAGATTAGAGTGCTTGCACAACAGCTATAATTTTACTATTAGCAAAAGTAGCTCTCATTTACGTTATTAGAAATCTATTTCTCACCGCTAAAACCATCAGTCATAACAATGACGTCACAACTTCCATCATGGCGGCGAGTATATAAAGGGGCTCCTCTTTCTACCGAGCAACACAGTTCTCTCAGCTTCTCTGCAACCAACATCAACATGAGAGTGAGTGGCTCTTGCCTAGTGTTTCGAACTATTGCATTCTCTTGGAATATATTATCTTTTTGCACTTCGACCTTAAGTTATCTATGAAGTTTACAATTTCTTGATTGATATAGTAAAGAGTCTAGAAACATTCTTATTTGTTTTTGACACAGTTTGTTGTCTTTTCCAGCAAAGAGAATTCTCACACAAATTCTCAATAATCTATCGAAATTCTAGGTCATTTCTTGCCTTAACAATTTCCCTCGATATATTTCCTTTCGTCCACACCCATTTCTGCGCTTTTCATGAGCCTGTCTCTTGCAGCTGATCCTCCTAGTGGGCGCCCTCGCGGCTTTGGCCTCCGCCGTCCCCCGTCCAGACTCTCCTCCCGTCTACGGAGCTCCTCCCCCGACCTACAAGCAGCCAGGAATGCCCTTCGACTTCGCCTACGCCGTCCAGGATGACTACTCTGGCAACAACTACGCCCACCAGGAGACCAGCGACGGTCACGTCACCTCCGGATCGTACAGCGTGGCTCTTCCCGACGGTCGAACCGAGATCGTGGAATTCACCGCCGATCACGACAACGGCTACGTCGCTAACGTCGTCTACGAGGGGGAGGCCTCCTACCCCGCCCCTGCCCCCTCCTACCATCCTGCCCCCTCTTACCCCGCCCCCGCTCCCTCCTACCCTGCTCCCCCACCCCCACCCACCTACGCCTAAACGCACCACATTAACACAAGTTCACCGGTAAAGCTGAAAGCATGAAATCGAAAATTCCCACCAAAGGCAAACCGCAAACAAAACCCAATGTTTATTCCTTGCTCCTCATTCATAAATTTTCTTGTTGTTACGTTTGTAATACATTCAGTCTGTCACTATTGCCATATGTTAAGTGCTGATGGACGAATGCTATTTGGCACTTTGATTATATTAAGTTATTCTTATAAATAAAAGCTGATTTACGAAAACTTTGACGTATATTTTAACAGTGCTGAATTCACCTGTACGTTTCTCTCTCACAAGCTCTCTCTCTCTCTCTCTCTTAATTTATCCATATCAGTTTGTTTCTGCCGTGGACACTTTTCTTATGGTCAGTACATCCAATATTTTTTTCTATAATTTGTGTCCCAGAGCATCCGCTGCGAACATTAAACATTTCATCTTATTTTTCATAATTGCGATTGTTCTAATACGCTTATCGCTACTTGTATATATGTGTATCTACCTATTAATAATAATAGTATATATCACAGCTCCTAACACCGAAATGATTTGTCGTCTGTCGAAATGTTTTAACGATAAGTTGTTCCGTCACATTATCTGTTCCATGCGCCTATAACAGGAAGATGCATTTCACCGGCTGTATAAAGCATTACATACTTAATGAGTAATTGTAGGGAAAGAGCATATATACACCTCGCTTCTACTTTTAGATACTGAAGTACGATCTTCCTACCTCTTGAGCGTTTTGTTTTAGAATTATTGAAGAAAGTCGACGCTGTACTGAAGTAACAGCTGAGCATGGAGCGCTTGAGCCTCCGTGCCGATTGGCTGATAGATTGATAGACATGGTCCAGAACTGAAAAGATTCTTGGCCGCACAGCCTCTGGTAATTCACAAACACATCCTTATGACAGCTAAATAATATTTACGAAATACTTCATAATTCTAAAAAAAAAAAAATGCTACAATCGATGATCTGTCCCGCCGACTCGGTGCCGTTGGGTAGGCCATTTGGGATCATGACTTTGACTTTCTCAAAATTCAAAGGAGAGGCATTTTTCTTACATGTAATTACGTGACTCTCCCCACTGCGGGAAGCCAGATATAGAAAGCCCAGAGAAACCGACTTTCCGAAGTCCTTTTCGGCAGTGTATGGTCACCCTCATCCTCAGCCTTGTTGGCATTATTGTAAACATCGTTAATAGTAGGAAGATTATTATTATCATTATTATCCTTATCATGAGCAATGTCAATGTTATTGTTCTTCTCATTGCTGCATTCACAGTCATCATCGTTATCCATATTATTTTATCTTCACTAGCATCGCCATCACCAAAATATTCGTTAGCATTATCACAAATCACCATTATATATCACTTCATATTGCACTATTAATGTTTGATCTTAATAAATAAATTAAAACCGAGTACTAAGACAGCCAACAAAGTGATAGATGGTAAATTTGGCATCGATGCATGTAATATTTTCAAAGATAAATATGAGAAACTGTATAACACGGTACCCAGAGATGTTGAGTTAGGGGGGTTAGTATTGGAAGTAAATAAACAAATCACGTGCCAGTGTAATAGGACGAATGACACTCGAAAGCAGCACTTACACAGCATCACTACTCGTCAAGTTGCAGATGCTATCAAGAAATTAAAATTAGGTCAGTTTCATAATAAAACATCTCTCATATCTGACTGTTTTATACATGGATCCCATAGACTACATGTACTGATGGCAGTGCTATCTACTATAATGTTTAAACATGGCTTCTCAAATGATGCAATAACAAACACGACTATAAAGCCAATAATAAAGGATAAAAGGAAGTTAAGCAACGACTCGGATAACTATAGAGCAATTGCACCCAATGGCTCCTTTGCTAAAATATTAGATTATATGATTATAGCAAGTTTTCCTGATGTATTCAGATCTGATCAACAGTTTGCGTACAAATCTAAATACTCTACTACAATGTGCACATTCATGGTGATAGAGACTATCCAGTATTACCGAGAGAACGGGAGTGATGTATATGTTACGCTACTAGATTGTTCCAAAGCGTTTGATCTGGTTCGTTTTGATAAATTATTTAAACTACTGTTATACAAAAACATCGCCTCTCTATATTTAAAACGCACCTCCGTCAATGGAGGAAACTAAAAAACATCTCGGACATTGGTTATCCTCAAGAGGTGATTATATAAAATGTGACAATATTTCGAAAGATCTGAAGGTGAGAAGCAATTGCATAAAACGTGAATTTGTTCATCTTAGCTATGCAACCAAATGTATGCTTTTCAATGCTCAATGTTCTAGTCTTTATGGATGCCAGCTAATAAATCTCTCGTCTGGGCAATTTATGTCACTGTGTAAATCCTGGAGAATTGGTGTCAGGTATTTACTTGATCTTCCTACAAGGACTCACAATGTTCTTTTCCCATCCCTTATCAATTCTAAAAGCGCTGAAGATCAAGTCTACCATAAAATGCTTGTTTTTTTCATGAATGGCATCAATCATGAAAGTAATTATATTTCTTTCTTTTATCGAAATTGTCTAATGTCACTGCAATCACACATGTGTAGGAATATCTATAATATATTAGAAAAGCTCGATCTGAACATCCATGTGTCTTTTAGTCATAATGCTAGTAGAATCAAAACAATGTTAAAGCAGAGAGTCGTAAGCCGTGACTGGAGACCGACAATGATTAGATTCCTTTGTGTACTGCTTGATTTTTATGTTTTATTAAGATTCTATGTTTTTAATCAATCTTAAGCTTCTTGTACTTTCTTTTTTTTTACAATTTGCTTGTTTTTTTATACACTCTGTGGGTGTTGATTGTGAAATATGATATCTATGTACCATATTCACGAATAAAGATTTTGAATTTGAATTTGAATTAATAATGCCGTTATTACAAGTATTTGCACCTATTCTTGTCATATCATGCTTGTATAAAATCTCTGTAGCGGCCATCATTAACAGTAAAACAATACCATTCATACTTATTAACTTTATATGTATCTACGATAAAACCAGTACTTTCCTTTTTGTATAAGATATATATTGCAATTTACATCTGTTGTCGCTAAAACCATCAGTCGCAATAATGACGTCACCGCCTCCAGGACTATATAAAAGTCTCCCTTCGTCAGCTTGAGAATCACAGCTCATCCACATCCTCCGCGACCAACATCAACATGAAAGTGAGTCGATTTCCATTTGTCATTCCGATTATTACAAGTACCTCTTTATATTTTCTTTACATCTTTCCTCTCACCTACCTAGTAAGATTTTTAAAAACTTAATAACATGTAACTGTTTTCGATGAGTCTCGGTTTGCTGCATTTTTCTGGAAAAAAATCAATCATCCTGATTCGAGATAAGCTATCGGACTTTCCCTTTCAGTTCTATGATTTTCTTACCAGTAAACCTGGTGAGTCATTGGTATGACAATGTAAACAAGTTTCAACAAACAGTTGTCTTAGTTCGTCCACACCCATTCCTGTGCCTTTCATGAGCCTGTCTCCCGCAGCTGATCCTCGTAGTGGGCGCCCTCGCGGCTGTGGCCTCCGCCGTCCCCCGTCCAGACTCTCCTCCCGTCTACGGTGTTCCTCACCCGACGTACAAGCAACCAGGAATGCCCTTCGAGTTCGCCTACGCCGTCAAAGACCCCTACTCGGGCAACGACTACGCCCACGCCCAGACCAGCGACGGTCACGTCACCTCCGGATCGTACAGCGTGGCTCTTCCCGACGGCCGAACCGAGATCGTGGAATTCACCGCCGATCACGACAACGGCTACGTCGCTAACGTCGCGTACGAGGGGGAGGCCTCCTACCCCGCCCCTGCCCCCTCCTACCATCCAGCTCCCTCCTACCCAGCTCCCCCACCCCACCCATATCAATAATAGAGAGGGAATACTTTTCATGTTCAAGCCACACCATTAAAGCTCCCACGTCACAAGGCAAATAAATATCTTCAATATCACGTACCTCATTACCTTCACAATGGAAGTCCATTACAACAACTGTCGACTCCTTTGCTTGACCACAGACTGGCAACTGGTTTCCTTCCCTATACTTCACTGTCTCTACTCTAGGGAAATGTGATGTCTTTAACGTTTTGATTTTCAGTGTCATGCACGACGTTATAATGTGTGTATAGGCCTTTTAGTCATGATATTCTTGTAAATAAAGATAATTCGTTAAAAACATTCTTAATTTCCCTCACACATTTTACAAACGCAACCCTGAAAACAGTGGGCCATATTCAGCATCTTGTTTGAATGTTTATACAGCTAATTCAGTGCTTCCTTAGGTATTTGTGGGAAGCGTGCGTCTTAGTGTATATATTCTCACCTAGCTTCGGGGTCGTGGAGGTATCTTGTTGCCTCTCGACTGTCTCAAGTCCTCTTTTATGGTAGACTAATTAGATTACGGCCTTGCATTTTGTGTGAGGAAATTATCAAGAAAGAACAGGTGTTTCGCAAAGTAGCTTGTACATTTGACGCAACCCATATAGCAAGGGGAAAGGTTATATTCCCCTCCTACAACTCGGCACGGTAAACATGACGGGCTATGGATCCAGAGTAAAAGGCATAAGAGGTCTTCGTCCACACAAAGACCAAGATACAAGGCTTTAGGGATCATTATTATTATTATTATTATTATTATTATTATTATTATTATTATTATTATTATTATTATTATTATTATTATTATTATTATTATTATTATTATTATTATTATTATTATTATTATTATTATTATTATTATTATTATTATTATTATTATTATTATTATTATTATTATTATTATTATTATTATTATTATTATTATTATTATTATTATTATTATTATTATTATTATTATTATTATTATTATTATTATTATTATTATTATTATTATTATTATTATTATTATTATTATTATTATTATTATTATTATTATTATTATTATTATTATTATTATTATTATTATTATTATTATTATTATTATTATTATTATTATTATTATTATTATTATTATTATTATTATTATTATTATTATTATTATTATTATTATTATTATTATTATTATTATTATTATTATTATTATTATTATTATTATTATTATTATTATTATTATTATTATTATTATTATTATTATTATTATTATTATTATTATTATTATTATTATTATTATTATTATTATTATTATTATTATTATTATTATTATTATTATTATTATTATTATTATTATTATTATTATTATTATTATTATTATTATTATTATTATTATTATTATTATTATTATTATTATTATTATTATTATTATTATTATTATTATTATTATTATTATTATTATTATTATTATTATTATTATTATTATTATTATTATTATTATTATTATTATTATTATTATTATTATTATTATTATTATTATTATTATTATTATTATTATTATTATTATTATTATTATTATTATTATTATTATTATTATTATTATTATTATTATTATTATTATTATTATTATTATTATTATTATTATTATTATTATTATTATTATTATTATTATTATTATTATTATTATTATTATTATTATTATTATTATTATTATTATTATTATTATTATTATTATTATTATTATTATTATTATTATTATTATTATTATTATTATTATTATTATTATTATTATTATTATTATTATTATTATTATTATTATTATTATTATTATTATTATTATTATTATTATTATTATTATTATTATTATTATTATTATTATTATTATTATTATTATTATTATTATTATTATTATTATTATTATTATTATTATTATTATTATTATTATTATTATTATTATTATTATTATTATTATTATTATTATTATTATTATTATTATTATTATTATTATTATTATTATTATTATTATTATTATTATTATTATTATTATTATTATTATTATTATTATTATTATTATTATTATTATTATTATTATTATTATTATTATTATTATTATTATTATTATTATTATTATTATTATTATTATTATTATTATTATTATTATTATTATTATTATTATTATTATTATTATTATTATTATTATTATTATTATTATTATTATTATTATTATTATTATTATTATTATTATTATTATTATTATTATTATTATCACCCAGAGACTGATATGTCTTGGGAGTATAGTTCACGCCTTGAACGGATAGATTAGCCTGGTCAATCTTTGGACGGTAACAGTGCACCTTTCTTTAAGGCCCTGATATGGCCTGTCCTGCTTATTCCTGTACCAAAGGATGGCAAGAATTTTATTGCAGAGCAGCAAGTCGTAACTGTTTTTAGTAAATTTTGATAGAGAATTTCTGGAAAGGAAGAGAGCATCGAAGTACGAGGTAAATTATCACTGATAACAATTTTAAAATAAAGCAGTTAAGACTCGCTACGGAGCTCGACAGTAAAGGTAATGACGATGATGGACATGGTAATAATGCTGATAATGCTAACAGTAATGGCATGAGCGAATTTAATGATGATGGTAATAATAATGTAAATGAAAGAAGAGAAAGAAGACAGTAAAATGACGAATAATAAAAATGACAATGATAATGATAGTAATAACAATGACAATATTAAATATTATAAAAATGATATCAATAATATTGTAGTAATAATGTTGATAAGAATAATAATAGGAATGATGATCATGATGACAGTAACGATAATAATGATAACAATAATAATAACAACAACAACAGTAATTATAATACTAATAATGATAAAAATAATCAAATGTTAATACGAATGATGATAATGATAATGATCATAATAATGGTAATGATAATGATAATAATGATAATAATAATGATGATAATAATAATGATGATGATAATAATAATGATAATAATAATAATAGTAATGATAATAATAGTAATGATAATGATAATAGTAGTTATTATTAATATTATTATTTTTATTACCATTATCATTATTATCATTATTATTATTATTATCATTATAAGATTAATAACGGTAATGACAGTAATAACAAGGATAATAATAAAAATAATAACAACAATAATGATAATAATGATGATGATGATGAACAATAATAATGATAATAGTAGTAGTAATGATACTGATTGTAGCAAAAATTATAATAATGATAATTGTAACAATAATGGTAATAATAATAATGATAGTAATGATAGTAATGATAATAGTAATAGTGATAGTAATGATAAAAATAATAATTAAGATAATGATAATAATGATAGAAGATAATGATTATAATAATGATAATGATAGCAATAGCAATAATAGTAATGATATTATATTTCGCTACTGATAAAGATAAGGATAATAGTATTGGTAATGATAATTGATATGATAATACTAATAGTGATAATAATTGCAAGATGATTATCATTATCATCATTACTACTAATATCACTATCGTTTGTAGTGTTAATAATAGTTGTAGTTATAATTGTTGTAAAATTATTGTTATTATCGTCATAAATATCATTACCATTATCATTGTTGTTATCATTATTATTACTACTACTCCTACTACTATTATTACTACTACTCCTACTATTATCATTATTATGATCATTATCATCAGTATCTTTATCATTAGTAGTAGTAGGATCAATTTTATTATTATCATTACTTTTATTATTATCATCATTATCATTGCTATCATTATCATCAGTATCATTTTCTTTTTATTACTATTGTTAACATTATCATTGTCATTATTTTCATTATTATCGTTATCATTATTTGTTGTGGTTGCTATCATTATTATTGTTATTAGTATTATCATCATCATTAGTGGTAGTAGTCATAATTAGTATTGGTATATCTGTTATAACTGCTACTAATATTATCATAATTATCATCAATACTGTTATTATTATTGTTTTTGTTATTGTTATTATTCTATAATCAATATTAGCATCATCATAGCTGTTATTACCGCTATCATTTTTTTATTGTCGTATCACAACTTTAATTTTATTACTTTGCCGCTATTGTGAAGCTAGAGTTACCTTTATTCAAAAGTATACGCAGTGCAGAATTGTAAGGTCAGGCTAAGATAGAAAAGATATCATCACAGTTTCATTTTATTTATGAAAACAAATTTAAAAAGAAGAAATGGCGGTGCTTTTTTGGACACTCATGGGCAACAGTTAACAATGTATGGAAGTGTGTAGTCATATACGATTGAGTACGATAATGTAGCGTAAGATCCCACTCGACCTAGTGTTGGATCCTCCCCAGTGTTAGCCTGTAGTATAGATTCTATACATTGGCAGTTTGTCTAGAGAGGAGGAGGACCGAGTCACCTTTGACTGATATCGGCGGATCTGCAGATACAGGTACTAAAAACGTGTTCAAAATGGATGCTGAAATATGTGGAAATACGTGGAGGAATTAGAGGTGGAGAGTGGAAGGATGAAGGATGACAGGCACTTTGGCTTGCTTTGTGGCTTTTATGCGCCTTTTGATGGTGTTACTTGAATTTTAGAACGTTCTTTCCTTTGGTCTCTTTTGATGCTCAGGGGAGAGCCACTTCGGTGCATCTGAGATGGAGGGGTTTTATTGATGTGGGTGGGGTGGGGGAGGTGGGTAGGAAGGGGGATGAGGGTAGGAGGGAGCTGGGTGGTAGGAGGGGGCAGGGGCGGGGTAGGAGGCCTCCCCCTCGTACGCGACGTTGGCGACGTAGCCGTTGTCGTGATCGGCGGTGAATTCCACGATCTCGGTTCGGCCGTCGGGAAGAGCCACGCTGTACGATCCGGAGGTGACGTGACCGTCGCTGGTCTGGGCGTGGGCGTAGTCATTGCCCGAGTAAGGGTCCTTGACGGCGTAGGCGAACTCGAAGGGCATTCCTGGCTGCTTGTAGGTCGGGGGAGGAGCGCCGTAGACGGGAGGAGAGTCGGGACGGGGGACGGCGGAGGCCACAGCCGCGAGGGCGCCCACCACGAGGATCAGCTGCAGGAAGGAGCAGGGAATTCGAGCTGAAATTCACCCACGAAGAACGGGGACCTCGTTGGAGAGCGGGAATATTCCGAAGAAAGACACATTGAGGGAACAAATGCAATGAATGAATCTTGTTCCGATAAATCACTGATATTTTATTTAATTTGTTGATAGATTAAAGAATGATATTTCGAAGGCAAAATATTACGTAGAAGAATATGAAGCAAGGGAACTGAAGAAGGCACAGAGAGAAATTGCGGGTCAGAATGAATGGATAGATGGAGACAAAGTGAGAGAGAAAGAAAGAGAGTGAGCGGAGAGGAACAGAGAGAGAAAGTATTAGTAACTCGAAAGCCAGAGAGAGATTTTTTTTATCAAAAACTACTCACTTTTGCAGACATGTTGGTGTTGGTCGCAGAGGAGCTGAGTGAACTGGCTGAAGGAGGAAGCCCTTATATACTCACCACTAGAATGGAAGCTGTGACGTCACTATTATGGACAGCGGATACTGCACTGGCATATGGCATATGATAGTAACGTGAAAGCAGTTGTAAGGTAAGGTGGTTCATAAAGACCGAATAACAGATATGCCATGATGCCGAAGACAACAATACCATTAGCGTTATTCGTAAAATTAGAAAGAATTCCTACTCCTGCAGCTTACAACGGAGGCAATATTCATGAATTTAGTGATGATAATGATAATTTTCGTATTAATAATGGTGATGAAGAAAATGATTGTGTTGATAATGATACCGACAACGACAGTGATAACAAAAATATTAATCTAATCAAATTGATAATAGTAACGATAGTAGTAATAACTGCAGGTGGTTATCCAAATCCGCATCACTTTTAACATCCACGTCTATAGGGAGATAATAACTATACACTGACACGCTGCGTACATTGGTTGAGGAGAAATAAAGAGAAAGAGAGAGGAGAGAAAGAGAGAGACAGAGAGATATACAGAGAGAGAGAGAGATTATTGTCTTTTTGATTATCATTATTGTCTTTTTTGGTACTTTACATACATACATACATACATACATACATATATACATATCATTATCACTATTACTGTTATTATCATTATCATCATCACTGTAATTATTATTACTATCATTGTTATCGTTATCATTATTATTATTATTATTAGCATTAATGTTATTATCATCATTTTATCACCATTATCATTATTATTATCATTATTTTTATCTTATTCTTATTTTTTATACGTTTATCATAATTAATATTGGTACTATTATCATAATCATCACTACTATCATTACTATTATCAGATAGATGGATAGATTGATGAATCAGTCGACAGATAGATAGAAAGATAGATAAACTGATAAAGAGATAGAGAGGTAAATTGATAGATTGATTGATAGTTAGATAAATTGATAGATTGATTGATAGTTAGATAAATTGATAGATAGATAGATAAACTGATAGACAGATAGACAGATAGATATATTGATAGATAGACAGACAGATATATTGATAGATAGATAGATTGACTGATAGATAGACAGACAGATGGATAGATAGAGAAAGAGAGAGGGAGGAGAGAGAGAGAGAGAGAGAGAGAGAAAGAGAGAGAGAGAGAGAGAGAGAGAGAGAGAGAACCATGAGTGAGAGCAGAGAAAGGGGGATGATTCAATGCCTCCGCTTCGTCGCCAAAAAAAAAAAAAAAAAAATCATTGCCTGTTCGTTTCGCTTCACTCACATGACATGTATATTTTTTTACCAGAAATAACAGGTGAGGATAGGGACATAAATGCGGATTAATGGAAATTCTTTGTCTCAGACAATTATATATATATATATATATATATATATATATATATATATATATATATATATATATATATATATATATATATATATTTCTTTGTTTGTATGGTTATCTCTGTAATTCCGTGACTCATTTCTGTATATATTTCTGTTTAGTCTAGTTACTATTCTGTATCAAAATCGATTCCTAAGTTTCACACGATGTTGCTGAATTGACGCCGAGCTTCACCCTAATCAGGGGAAATTCGCATGAGCTTCACCCTTATCAGGAAAGAATTCACAAAGCATTCATCACTCGCACTCATTCCGTATAGATGGATTCCATGTTTACATTTTGAGCGCTGAAATTTGCACATGCGCAATTGCTGGCAGGTAAGATCCACTCTGGCAGACCACAGACAATGCCGACTCGTGCTGTGCTGTTGGTTGTACGAAACGAAGAAAACCTTTTTTTATCGGATTCCATTTGGAAACGATGAACAATCCTTTGCTTTAAGAGAAAAAAATGGATAGCTGCCATCAGACGTGAGAACTGGAGCTCAAAGAAAATTGACAACGCACGCATTTGCTGTGCTCATTTTATATCAGGTAAGTAAAAGGCATTCACCTATGCAAGAGCGAATGAAAATTTCAGAATTAAGTTACTTCAAGTTCAATTTTGTGTCACTATTTGATCAAGTCGTCTCACTGAAAGTTACCCTTTCAAAAATGTGAGTAAAACAAACAATGAACATAAAAAATGCTGTAATTTTCTGTTCTGAATAAATGGATTGCTGTTGGTAATTTTTCGATAAACTAAAACGAAAAAAAAATACTGTACCTTAGACTTAATGAAACAGAAATTACTTCTCTTGTCGATTCCATGGTAAAAAAATGTCTTGAAAATTCCCACAAATGAAAAAAAATGTAGGCTTCCAGAGACTTGTATGCTTTAAGCGATTCATTCGAGAAAGATCATGGCGTATTTATCAAATAATTATAACCTTCAGGCCAGGTGACATTAGGCATCAAAGTAACATCGTTCTTCCATTCTTCTTGAAGCATGTACGGATCAGGGAGCCATGTCCATCTGTGAGTGAAAGCTTACATTTATACCATTTCTAATCTTCTGAAAATGCTTTGTAATACTTTGCGCTGGAAAACATTGTGTGGAATACGAAATGAAAAATAAAAACGAAGATGTACTTTCAGCGAGGATCAGCTGATCAAAATAGTAGTTTTTTTCCGATCGTTTCCTGTTAACATGCTGAGTCACGATCTCTATGCAATTGATGCCGAGAGAAGGCAGGAAAAGAACACCTATTTGTTGATATTCGAGGAACAGGGACAGTGGATAGATCATAGTCACAAGAGATGAACGGAAATAACATAGACTGAGAAATGCGAATATAGATAAGAAATTATTAGAAATACTGGTTTGGTTCGGCTTTACTAAGAAAAATCAACTTTAATCCATTAGCTTTTATTTACGAGGATAAGATTACATCTGAAAAACCTACTGACCCCGACTGCCTCACCCGTGAAAACAAAAACAGGACGAGTGAGCGAAGGGGTCAGCGAGCATTGGCTTTCAGGAGGTAATGAGGTGCGTACTGTTTGGCAAGCGCCTTGGCTTGCCTTGTGACTTTTGTGTGAACGTTGATGGCTTGAGCTTGGAAAGTCCTTCCTTTGGCGTTAGATTTTTCGACAGAGCCGCCTGCACGCTGAGGATGGATGGGTTTTATTGATGTGGGGGAGGTGGGTAGGTGGTGGGTGGTGGGTAGGAGGGGGCGGGGGCGTGGTAGGAGGGAGCGGGGTGGTAGGAGGGGGCAGGGGCGGGGTAGGAGGCCTCCCCCTCGTACGCGACGTTGGCGACGTAGCCGTTGTCGTGATCGGCGGTGAATTCCACGATCTCGGTTCGGCCGTCGGGAAGAGCCACGCTGTACGATCCGGAGGTGACGTGACCGTCGCTGGTCTGGGCGTGGGCGTAGTCATTGCCCGAGTAGGGGTCCTTGACGGCGTAAGCGAACTCGAAGGGCATTCCTGGCTGCTTGTAGGTTGGGTGAGGAGCGCCGTAGACGGGAGGAGAGTCGGGACGGGGGACGGCGGAGGCCACAGCCGCGAGGGCGCCCACCACGAGGATCAGCTGCGGGAGGGAACAGGGAATTCCGAGCTAAAATTAAATCTCATGACGAAGAGAGCAAATCTCGCCGGGAAAAGCTGGCACATCAAGAGGAAAGACACTTTAATTTTGGAAGTAGAATGAAACAGAAAAGTAATACCATAACACTGCTGGAACAAATGACTGAATCTTCTGGACTAGTGCCTCCTGTCAGCACGCCAATGACGAGAAAGGGACTAAAGAAGGGACAGAGAAGAATCAAACAGAAAGAAAGGGAAAGGGAGAGGGAAGGAGGGAGAGAGAGAGAAAGAAAGGGAAAGGGAGAGGGAAGGAGGGAGAGAGAGAGAAAGAAAGAAAGAGGGAGAGGGGTAGGGAGATAGAGAGAGACCTTAGAGACATTATTTTTCGAAAGCTACTTACTTTCGCACACATGTTGGTGTTGGTCGCAGAGGAGCTGAGTGGACAGTGATGCTCGGAAGGGAAAAACACATTTATATACTCGCCACCAGCACGGAAGCTGTGACGTCACTGCTATGACTGAACAGTGGACGTTACAAAACAGATGGCTTTAATAATAACAAGGAGAAAGCTGTTTTAAAATAGTAAGTAAATGATTCCAGAAAAAGTGATGTTGATTATAAGAACGTTGTTCAGAGGTCTGCCTGATGCCGATAAATAACAGTATAAAGAACAAAATACGGTAAAAAAAAATCTGTTGATATCAAGACATAGGGATAAAGAGAACTAGTAAAAATAAACATGATTATAATGACGATAATAATAATGATAACATGTACAATAGTAATAATAATAATAATAATAATAATAATAAGAAGAAGAATAACAATAACAATAACAATAATAATAATAATAATAAATAGGGACAGTGAGAAATAGATAGAGAAGCTGGATTTGGAAATTACAGATGAAATGTTACAAAAACCTTGTTTACTTGGAACAGCAAGTAAAAAATCAAAAAGTACTGGACATGAAGTGAAAAGTGAAAGAGAAAAAAGCTACAGTACCGAAGATCACTGGTTGTGGTCCGCTATTGCAGCTCATTCACCAGGATATAACACCAGTCTTGAGAGTACCAGTAATAATAAAAATAATAACAATAACAGTAACGATAATAATGATGATAATAATAATAATGTTAATAATAATAATATTAATAATAATAATGAATAATAACAATAATGATAATAATAATAATAATAATAATAATAATAATAATAATTATAATAATAATAATAATAATAATAATAATAATAACAGTAATAATAATAATGATTATAATTTTACTAATAATGATAATGATAATAATAATAATAACAATAATAATGGTAATAAAAAGAAAGATGATATTAATAATAATAATGATAATAGTAGCAACAACAGTGATGATAACAATAATAATAATAATAATGATAATTATTATTATTATTATTATTATCATTATTATTATAGTAATAATAATAATAACAATGATAATAATAATGATAATAATGATGATAATAATAATGATCATAATGATGATAATAACTATAACATGAATGATAATGATTGAAGTAACAGTAATAATGATAATGATGATATTGATAATAATAATAAAGATAATCATGGTAATAATGATAATAATAATGATGATGATGATAACAGTAACAATAATAATGACAATAATAATGATAATAGTGACAATAATAGTAAAAATAATGATAATGATAAGAACAATAAAATAATAATAATAGTGATAACATATATGATGTTTACGCTTAAGTTCTGCCTAAACCTTTTAACTCTCCAGTTTAACAGTACCTATCGTTCAAAATTATCTCATCAGAACTTTGTCTTTCAAAACGTTTCTTGGGAACCGAAAGCCACGATTCTCTCTTTTGTCTCTTAGCGATCTACCACAGTTGGATTCTGTTTTATATATTATCATTCTCTTCATTGTTATTTTTAATATCATGATCATTATCATCAACAGGGCGTGGTAGTTATGATAATAGCATATGTCATTAGTAGTAGTAGTATGAACAGTAACCTTTTTGCAATAATTCACTATATTATTATTATTGCTATTATCACAGTACTACTATCGTCATCACTAACTTTACCATTAAAATCAATATCATCTCATCAATCTTCATTTAAGGAAGAAACCTGCGAGGTATATCGAACCGTAGTGAATTGCCATTAGCATTATCGTCTATAAAAAAGTATAAGAGTGAGAGAAAGAGGATTGAATCCGAAGGAAGGAGACAGGAACGGAGAGAGAAAAAGAAGGTGATGGCACACCTACTTGGGAGTCAAGGATATTTATAAAGTTATGGAGTAAAGAGAAAAAAAAACGCGTGTACCAAGAGGAGGAGATATTACTGAATGGGTACAGATACCCCCTCGAGATACACAAATCACTAACATTCATTTCTTGCGAGGAACGGCCGGAACATCTTATCGTACGATCAGCAAGCCAGGATTGAGTCAGCGGCACCGGTGAGAGTAACTGCATGCTATTTCGCGTCGTGGTAATAACAAGAGATGATATGAAATAAGTTCTTATTTATCTGCAACAAGCGTCAAGAGATCCATGTCGAGAGAAATCATTGATAATGCTTTGAAAGGAGAAGGGGAATAGAGAGGAAGGGAAGAACATGCTTGAAACGGATGTCCAGCCACGCGTAGAGATGGTGGAAGAGTCCTAGTCAAAAGAAATACACGGAAAAGACAAAAGAAACCCGGGAAAGAAGAGAAAGGAGCAAAGGTTGTTAGGTTGTACCACAAAAATGAAAACGTTTCATCGATTTCCTTTTATTTACGAGGATAAAATATAACGACTGAATGACCCTCTGACGCCGACTGCCTCACCCGTGAAAACATAAACAGGACGAGTGAGCGAAGGGGCCAGCAAGTATGGCTATGGACTTCCAGGAGGAGGTAGTGAGGCGCGTACTGTTTGGCGCCTTGGCTTGCCTTGTGACTCTCGTGCGAACGGTGATGGTGTCGCTCTTCGACAGGGCCGTCTGCACGCTGAGGATGGATGGGTTTTATTGGTGTGGGTGGGGTGGGGGAGGTGGGTAGGAGGGGGCGGGGGCGTGGTAGGAGGGAGCTGGGTGGTAGGAGGGGGCAGGGGCGGGGTAGGAGGCCTCCCCCTCGTAAGCGACGTTGGCGACGTAGCCGTTGTCGTGATCGGCTGTGAATTCCACGATCTCGGTTCGGCCGTCGGGAAGAGCCACTCTGTACGATCCGGAGGTGACTTGGCCGTCGCTGGTCTGGGCGTGGGCGTAGTCGTTGCCCGAGTAGGGGTCTTTGACGGCGTAGGCGAACTCGAAGGGCATTCCTGGCTGCTTGTAGGTCGGGTGAGGAACGCCGTAGACGGGAGGAGAGTCGGGACGGGGGACGGCGGAGGCCACAGCCGCGAGGGCGCCCACCACGAGGACCAGCTGTAGGAAGGAGCAGGGAATTCCAATCAAGTGAAGAACAAGGATGAGGACGAAAGGGACATTCCATGGAAGCAGGGATGAGTGAGGGCATGTCTTTTTTTTTTTTTTTTTTTGTGGCGGAATGCTTAGTGCTTCTGGCTGAGTGCGACCTCTCACACTGATGGCCTACTCATGTTGCTGATGATAGATTAATTGATGGCAATGCAAAGGCAAAACGTTATGTAGAAGAATATGAAATAAGGGAATTAAAGAAGGAGCATAGGGAAAAGGAGGGATTGATGGAGAGAGAGAGAGAGAGAGAGAGAGAGAGAGAGAGAGAGAGAGAGAGAGAGAGAGAGAGAGAGGAAGAGGGTTTGCTAGCTCGATAGCTACTCACTTTCGCAGACATGTTGTTCGCAGAGAGCTGAATGAGCTGTGATGCTCGGCTGAAGGAGGAAGCCCCTTTTATACTCATTCTAGAAAGGAAGTTGTGACGTCACTGTTACGACCACTGGACAGCAAAGGCAAATTGATGATAGTAAAAGCAGTTGTAGAATGGCAAACAAATTAGCAATAATGATGTTAGCAACAGATTTGTGATACTAATGCATTAAGTAGGTATTAATGATTAAAGATAAGAAAATGCGGTAAAGATGGTTATAGTCTTCCCGCGATACTGAATCAAGAAAATTATTTATAATAATAGAATAACAGACACATTTTTCACAAGATTAGACGTTGCTACGACGACTAATAATGAAACTGACAATGTTCTTGAGATTAGTAATATTAGTGATAAGGATACTGATAATAATAACGGAAATAATATTTGTGATAATACAGGCAGACGTAACAAAAATGTTAGGAATAATTACAATAACAATGACAGAAGGTACGATAGCAATTAATGATGATAATGGTAAAGACAGTAACTAATAATGATAGTGATAATAATAATGATAAAATCTTGACATTATCATTATTATTATTGTTATTGTCATCATTGTTGTTACTGTTATTATTGTTCTGTCACTATCATTATTATCATTATTACCAGTGTGATCATCATCATCATCATCATTATTATTACTATTATCATTATTATCATTATTATCATTACTATTATTTTCATAGTTATTATCCTCATCCCCAGTGTCATTTTAGGCAGAACCTGATTAGAGGTAAAGAGAAAAGGGAAACAAAGATGAAAAAGGCGAACGATTCGAAGTCGAAGAAAAGAAAAGGAAGAAAAACAAGCTGAAGAAAACCAAGAAGAAAGGGGGACGAAAAAGAGCAAGGAGAAGAAGACGATGAAGAAGAAAAGAAGGAGAGCAAGAAGACAAAGAAGAAAGGAACAACATGAAGAAGGAGACGAAGAAGAAAAGCAGGAGAACAGGAAGAAGACGAAGGAGAAATGAAGATCAAGAAAAAGGAGGCGAAAGAGAGAAAGGAAAATAACAGGAAGAGATTCCAAGCACTTTCAGGAAGGGTCTGATCCTTTTCTAACTCCGTCGCCAGAGAGCAGCTGCGGAGCGACAACTGAGAGTGTTTGTGGAAAGCGACCAGTCCGCCATTAAGTGAGAAGCGGCGTTGGAGTGAACTACTTTTGATATTTTTAATCATTATATAAATAAAGTACTCGTGCTCGCGAGCTTTGCCGACGTAAATGATCTTGTTTGTTTGTTTTTTGTTTAATTTGTTTTAGCTTTGTTTATCTTTTGTGTTCAAATACTTTTTATATAATATTTATGTTTCATCGTCTGAAAGCCATCCAGATTGCCAGTCAAAATCCTCCTCAGCCACAGTACTGTTAGAAATGATTTCACCCAGCATCAGCATCAGCTTCCTGTGAGGAACAGCCAGAGAGCATCTTGTCTTACAGCTGCATTCTCTGCGATCAGCGAGTGCAAGCAGCACCAGCGAGGGTAAGTGCTTCCTGTTTCTTGTCAAGGTATTTGCAAGCGAAAAAATACATCTAAGATCTCTATCCGCAACTGACGCCAAGAGATCCATGTCGAGAGAAAACGAGTGATAATTAAAAAACAATAATAATAATGAATGAATGAGGTATTGCGATGATGAATCTTGAAAAAAGAAAGGGAATAGGAAGGAAGGGAAGAATGTGTCTGTCGATGCTCCAGCCCACAAGGGGTCAGTCACAGAGTCTTAGTTAAAAGGAAAGAAACGAAAATAACAAAAGACTTTCAGAAATGCAGAGAAAGAAGCAAAGGTGTGTGCGGTTATAGTGTAATTAGATAAGAATATCTAATTGATTAACTTTTATTTACAAGAGTAAAATACAGAGACTAGAAGACGCGTCCATCGTGAAAACATAAACAGGACGAGTCAATTTATGAATTTCCATGTGGAAGCAACGAGGCACTTACTGCTGAAGCACAGGAAGCACTTTGGTTTTGTCCTGTGTCTTCTGCGTGGATTTTAATGGTGTGGTTTGAGCTTGGAAAGTCCTTCCTTTGGCGTTGGATATATCTTGAGCAAGGAGCTTTTGGCAGAGCCGCCTGTGCGCTGAGGATGGATGGGATTTATTGGTGTGGGTGAGGTGGGGGAGGTGGGTAGGAGGGGGCGGGGGCGTGGTAGGAGGGAGCGGGGTGGTAGGAGGGGGCAGGGGCGGGGTAGGAGGCCTCCCCCTCGTACGCGACGTTGGCGACGTAGCCGTTGTCGTGATCGGCGGTGAATTCCACGATCTCGGTTCGGCCGTCGGGAAGAGCCACGCTGTACGATCCGGAGGTGACGTGGCCGTCGCTGGTCTGGGCGTGGGCGTAGTCATTGCCCGAGTAAGGGTCCTTGACGGCGTAGGCGAACTCGAAGGGCATTCCTGGCTGCTTGTAGGTCGGGTGAGGAGCGCCGTAGACGGGAGGAGAGTCGGGACGGGGGACGGCGGAGGCCACAGCCGCGAGGGCGCCCACCACAAGGATCAGCTGCAGGAGGCAACAGAGAATTCCGAGCTAAGATTCACCCACGTAGGAAAGCAGAAATTTCCCGAAGAAAATCACTTCAAATTTCGGAAATCCCTGTTATATGATATGAAGTAATCTTGGAAACAAAAGGGAACCTTGAAGGAACAAATGTAATTATATAAAGCAATGGAGCTGAAGCACGGACAGAGAGGATTGAGGAGCAGGAGGGATGGATGGATGGAGAGAGAGAGGGGGGGGGGGTGAGAGGAGAAAGAAAGAGTCACTAACTAGAAAGCCAGATTTTTTAACCGAAAGCTACTCACTTTCGCAGACATGTTAGTGTTGGTCGCAGAGGAGCTGAGTGAGCTGTGATGTTCGGTTGAAGGAGGAAGACCTTTTATACTCATCATGGAAGTTGTGACGTCACGAGCACCGGATACTGCAAAGGCAAATGACGTTGATGATAGTAACGTGAAAGCAGTTATAACGTGAAAGCAATCAAAAAATAATTTCAGCAAAAAATATTTTAGCAACAGATTTATGATGTTAATGCTATTAAGTAGGTACTCATGATAACAGCTAAATGCTGTAAAGATGTTTTTATGATACTAGATCAGTGGACATACTTCTGATGCCGAGAACAGCAATACCATTAACAATACTTGCAAAATTAAACATAAATACCACGTTCTACCACTGCTGTTACTACAGATTAAAGTACCGATAAAGTTCTTAATAATGAAGATATAAATCATCATGATAAAGATAATGATTTTGGTAGGAAAAACGATAGTTATGATGATAATAATAATTGTAACAATAATGGTAATACTGACAATAACAACAATAACGATGATAGTGAATATAAATATAAATTAATGATTATAGTAATAACATTGATAAGTAGAATAACTCGCGAATGTTTGTGTGTTTTGCATGAACTGTTATGCCTGATCAGAATCAAGTATCGATGCAAAGACTGATATAATTGGAATCAAAGCGAGACAGTTTTCTAAGGATAAGAATGTGACTGTCTACACTTCTGGTGATTCGTCTGCGGCTCTCAGCGTCGACTTGATAAGCATAGTAATGATAATGACATTAGTAGTGGTAATAAAGATAATGATAATATTGATGATATTGCTGCTAAAGATAATGATAATGATGATGATGTTGCTGCTAAAGATAATGATAATGATACTGATACTGATACTGAAAATAATTGTGATAATAATGATAATGTCAGTAATCACAAAACTGATAATGATAATGATAATAATGACAGCAATAATTACAATGATAATGATAAAGAATAACTACATTATCACTATCATTATGATCATGGCTATTACCATCATTATCACTGCAGTCACTACAAATATCATTATCCTTTTTATTACTATTATTGTTTTCAATATCCATATTACAGTTTTTATCACTATTATCCTTTCATTATTATTATTAACATTATTTTCATCATCATTATTATCATTATTGTCGCTGCTATCTTTTTGTTCTCATTAGCATAATCACTCTCCTTACCTTTACTATCGTCATCATCATTATCATTACCAGTGTCAAAGGTGAGCCTAGATTGTTGTTTAGGAAGAATCTCATTTGTGTAAGAAGACATATATGATCTCAAAATCTGACTAGAGGAAGGAGAAAAATAAGACGAACACGCAGACGAAGAAATGAAAAAAAGAGAAGACGAAAACAATATGAAGAAAAGGGGGACGGAGAAGAAGGAGGTGGAGGAGGAGGAGGAGGGGGAGGGCAGGGAGTAGGAAAAGAAGAGATTCCAAGCGGTTTCAGGAAGGGTCTGATCCTTTTCTAATTCCGTCGCCAGAGAGCAGCTGCGGAGCGACGAGTAAGAAGAGGCACTATAATGAATAATTTTTGTTATCTTGAATCATTATACAAATAAAGTACTCGTTTTCTCAGTTCTTGAAAGCATCGAACGTTTTCCGCGGTTTTTGTCAGCGTAGACGACCTTGTTTCGTTCTCGCCAGGTATTAGTATCGCCTTTTCATTAATATTCTCGTTTAATCTGTTCTGGTTTGAATGTGAAGACTGTTTCAGTTTTGTGTATCTATCATCTTGCGATGATATATCTGAAGAGAAAGGGAATAGGAAGGAAGGGAAGAATGTGTCTTTGTCGATGCTTGAAGCGGACGTCCAGCCACACAAGGGGTCAGTCACAGTCTTAGTTAAAGGAAAGAAACGAAAATAACAAAAGACATCCAGAAAAGCAGAGTAAGGAGCAAAGGTGTGTGCGGTTACAGTGTAATTAGAAAAAAAAGTTTTATCGAGTAACTTTTATTTACAAGAGTAAAATACAGAGACTAGAAGACGCGTCCATTGTGAAAACATAAACAGGACGAGTCAGTTTATGTTGAAATGAATTTCCATGTGGAAGCAACGAGGCACTTACTGCTGAAGCACAGGAAGCACCTAGGTTTTGTCCTGTGTCTTCTGCGTGGATTTTTATGGTATGGCTTGAGGTTGGCAAGTCCTTCCTTTGGCGTTGGATATATCTTGAGCAAGGAGCTTTTGGCAGAGCCGCCTGTGCGCTGAGGATGGATGGGATTTATTGGTGTGGGTGGGGTGGGGGAGGTGGGTAGGAGGGAGTGGGGTGGTAGGAGGGGGCGGGAGCGTGGTAGGAGGGAGCGGGGTGGTAGGAGGGGGCAGGGGCGGGGTAGGAGGCCTCCCCTTCGTACGCGACATTGGCGACGTAGCCGTTGTCGTGATCGGCGGTGAATTCCACGATCTCGGTTCGGCCGTCGGGAAGAGCCACACTGTACGATCCGGAGGTGACGTGGCCGTCGCTGGTCTGGGCGTGGGCGTAGTCGTTACCTGAGTAGTCCCTGACGGCGTAGCTGAAGTCGAAGGGCATTCCTGGCTGCTTGTAGGTCGGGGGAGGAGCGCCGTAGACGGGAGGAGAGTCGGGACGGGGAACGGCGGAGGCCACAGCCGCGAGGGCGCCCACCACGAGGATCAGCTGCAGGAGGCAACAGAGAATTCCGAGCTAAGATTCACCCACGTAGGAAAGCAGAAATTTCCCGAAGAAAATCACTTCAAATTTCGGAAATCTCTGTTATATGATATGAAGTAATCTTGGAAACAAAAGGGAACCTTGAAGGAACAAATGTAATTAATGAATATTTGAAAGTCAAAATGCCACCTAGAACAATGTTAAGCAACGGAGCTGAAGCACGGAGAGGATTGAGGAGCAGGAGGGATGGATGGATGGAGAGAGAGGGGGGGGGGGGTGAGAGGAGAAAGAAAGATTCACTAACTAGAAAGCCAGATTTTTAAACCGAAAGCTACTCACTTTCGCAGACATGTTAGTGTTGGTCGCAGAGGAGCTGAGTGAGCTGTGATGTTCGGTTGAAGGAGGAAGACCTTTTATACTCATCATGGAAGTTGTGACGTCACGAGCACCGGATACTGCAAAGGCAAATGACGTTGATGATAGTAACGTGAAAGCAGTTATAGAATGTCAAATAATCTCAGCAAAAAACATTTTTAGCAACAAAGTTATGATGCTAAGTAGGTATTGATGATAAAAGCTAGAGATAAGAGCTAAAATCTTCGGGCAATGCTGAACTAATAAATCTATTTATGATAACAGATCAGCAGACATACTTCTGATGCCGAGAACAGTAATGCCATTAACAATACTTGCAAAATTAGACATAAAGATCACGTTCTACCATTGCCACTACTACAGATTACAGGACTGATAATGTTCTTGATAGTGGAGATATTAATTATCATGATAATGATTCTGGTAGGATTAATGATAGTTATGATGATAATGACAATTGCAACAGTAATAGTGGCAATAATGACAATAACAACAATGACAATGATAGTGAATATAATAGTAATTAATGATGATAATGTTAATAACACTGGTGATAATCAGAATGACTCGCGAAGCAGTCATACTTTTGTGTTTTGCATGAATTATGAATCCAGATCAGATGCAAACATCGATGCAAAGAATGATGGAATTAGAATTAAAACGAAACTGTTTCCTCAGGATAAGAATATGACTGTCTACACTCCTGGTGGTTCGTCTGTGCCTCTCAGCGTCGACTGGACTTAGCATAATAATGATGATAATGGTAATGATGATACTAATAATGATAATAATGGAAATTATAATAATAATAATGCTACTAACAATTATTATGAAAATGATGATACTAAAGATAACCATAAGAATGATCATAATACAGATAATCATACTGATACTGAAAATAATAATTCAATAATCATAATACTGATAGAACTACTTTTAATGATAATAAGGATAATTATTATTACTAACAATAATAATGATAATAAAGATAATCACAATAATGATAAAAAATAATAATTTCATTATCATTATCACTATTATTATCATGACCATTGACATCATTATTATTGCAGTCACTACAAATACAATTATCCTTATTACTGTGGTAATTGTTTTCATTATCATTATTCTTATTATCATGATTACCATTATTGTCATTGATATAATCTTATTTTTAGTACTAATTAGTATAATGAATCTCATTATTTCTATCCTTATTATCATTACCATTGTCAAAATTGAGCCTGAGACTGTTGTTTTAGGAAGAATCTCATCTGCATAAGAAAACACATTTGATGTGAAAATCTGATTAGAGGAAAGAGAAAAAGAAGAAGGCGAAGAAGACGAACACGCAGACAAAGAAGAAATGGAAAAGAGAAAAAAAGAGAATACGGAGAAGGCGAAAAAGAATATGAAGAAAGGAGGGACGAAGAAGGAGGAGGAGGAGAGCAGGGAAAAGAAGGAAAAGAAGAGATTCCAAGCACTTTCAGGAAGGGCCGTTCTAATTCCGTCGCCAGAGAGCAGCTGCGGGGTGACAGCGAGAGTGTTTGCGGTTGGCACCTAGTCCGCCATTAAGTGAGAGGGGCACTGTAGCGAGTCAATTTTGGTATCAGATTATATTACAATTAAAGTACTCGTTTTCTTCGTCCTTAAAAGCATCGAACGTTTTCCGCAGGTTCTGTCAGCATAAACGACCTTGTTTCGTTCTCGCCAGATGTTATTATTATCGCTTTTTATTTGTATTTTCGTTTAATCTATTCTGGTTTGAATGTGAAGACTGTTTCAGTTTTGTATATCTTATGAGTTCTGTCTCTTTTCTTTTAATATTCATGTTTCATCGCCTGAAAGCCACCCAGTGTGCCAGTCAAAATCCTCCCATCAGGAAACAGATAAATCGGCTCCCCATGGTCGACAGCCAATCGGAATACTCCTTTAAAACAAATGTAAACAGTAATCGCTTAGCACCCTCAGATGGTTCCTTAAATCATTGCAATTCAACAAATTATGTTTAAAAAGGCTATATCTTTCCAACTTGATATATCTTATATCCTCGATTGTCAGGTCCCTTAAGATGCTGCGAAAACGTCTGTCAGGAGAGATTTCACCGAACACAAGCATCAGATTCCTATGAGGAACAGCCAGAGCGCATCCTGCCTTACAGCTGTATTCTCTGCGATCAGTGAATGCAAGTAGCACCGTCGAGAGTAAGTGCTTGTTGTTTCTTGCCAAGGTATTTGCAAGCGATCTGCAACTGACTCCAAGAGAGTAATACTTAAAAATGAATGAATAAGGTATTGCGATGATAAATCTTGAAGAGAGAATGGGAATAGGAAGGAAGGGAAGAATATATATGTCAATGCTTGAAGCGGACGTCCAGCCACACAGGGGTCAGTGACAGAATCTTAGTTAAAGCAAATAAGTCAACATTACAAAGCAGAGAAAGAAGCAAAAGTGTGTGTGGTTGCAATGCAATTAGAAAAAATATGTTTTATCAAGTAACTTTTATTTACAAGAGTAAAATACAGAGACTAGAAGACGCCTCACTTGTGAAAACGAGTCAATTTATGTTGAAATGAATTTCCATGTGGAAGCAATGAGGCACTTACTGCTGAAGCACAGGAAGCACCTAGGTTTTGCCCTGTGACTTCTGCGTGGATTTTAATGGTGTGGTTTGAGGTTGGCAAATCCTTCCTTTGGCGTTGGATATTTCTTGAGCAAGGAGCTTTTGGCAGAGCCGCCTGTGCGCTGAGGATGGATGGGATTTATTGGTGTGGGTGGGGTGGGGGAGGTGGGTAGGAGGGAGTGGGGTGGTAGGAGGGGGCGGGGGCGTGATAGGAGGGAGCTGGGTGGTAGGAGGGGGCAGGGGCGGGGTAGGAGGCCTCCCCCTCGTACGCGACGTTGGCGACGTAGCCGTTGTCGTGATCGGCGGTGAATTCCACGATCTCGGTTCGGCCGTCGGGAAGAGCCACGCTGTACGATCCGGAGGTGACGTGACCGTCGCTGGTCTGGGCGTGGGCGTAGTCGTTACCCGAGTAGTCCCTGACGGCGTAGCTGAAGTCGAAGGGCATTCCTGGCTGCTTGTAGGTCGGAGGAGGAGCGCCGTAGACGGGAGGAGAGTCGGGACGGGGGACGGCGGAGGCCACAGCCGCGAGGGCGCCCACCACGAGGATCAGCTGCAGGAGGGAACAGGGAATTCTAAGATAAAATCCATAAGAATGACGAATGTCACAAAAAAACATGGGAACTTTATAAGAAGATAGGAATATATCCCCAAGAAAGTTGCTGGAGTTTCAGGAAGTCTTTATTAATATAAACTGAAGAAATCTTTGATAATTAACAACACACAAAGAAGTGAATGTAATGAATAAATCTTGGCAAACGTTATGTAGATGATTAAGAAATAAGGGAACTGCAGAAGAGACAGAGGCAAGTGGGGAAGAGTGATAGATGGACATGAGAGAGATAAATTTAGTAGAGTTTAGAGTTTAGTAGCTCGAAGGCCTGAATTTTTTTTTTCCAAAAATTACTCACTTTCGTAGACATGTTGTTGTCTTTAGCAGAGCAGCTGAATGAGCTGTGATGCTCGGCCGAAGAAGGAAGCCTCTTATATACTCGTCATGGAGGTTGTGACGTCATTGTTACGACCATTGGATACGGCAAAGGTAAATGGCGTTGATGACAGAAACGTGAAAGCAGGTATAGAATGTCAAACAAATACTTTGAGCGAAAAATATTTTAGCAACAAAATGATATCAAATAGGTATTAATGAGATATTGCTGATGTCGAGAACAGTAATATGGTAAACAATATTCACAAGACTAGCCATAAAGATGATGTTCTATCACAACTGCTGCAACTAATGATGATACTGACAATATTCTTATAGTGGTAATGATACTTGCGATGCTCACGATAATTATGGAAATAAAAAAATATCATGATTATAAAACTTTCAACAGGAGTGATGGTAATAATAACGGGGATAGTAAGGGTAATAGTTATGTATTACGATAATGGCAATAAGAAAAATAAAACGATTTTCGAAGCTGCATTTTTTTTTTATAGTTTTGCATAAATTGTATTCCTCATCAGAATAGCAGACGGATCTATTAGGTTAAAAAGAACAACATTTGCATCCATATCATTATATTCATTATTAGTATCATTATTATAATTTTCAATATATCAATATTACTGCTATTAGCAATATCCTTATCATTATCATTACTATCATTAACATTATTATCAACAATACTGTTATTATCATTATCATCATTGTCATTATTATCATTATCATTATTAACAATACTACTGTTACTATTATCGTCTTCATTATCATAATTATTATCACCATTGTTATTATAGTAATTATTATTATTAATATCATTATTACTGTTGTTGTGATCCTCAAATGGGCCTAAGACTCTGAGGAAGAAACCCATTTGTATAAGAAACGAAGAAAACAAAGAACAGGAAGATGAAGAAACCGAAAAAGAAGAAGGAGGAGGAGGAGGAGGAGGAGGAGGAGGAGGAGGAGGAGGAGGAGGAGGAGGAGGAGGAGGAGGAGAAGGAAGAGGAGGAGGAGGAGGAGGAGGAGGAGGAGGAGGAGGAGAAGGAGGAGGAAGAGGAGGAGGAGGAGGTGGAGGAGGAGGAGGAGAAGGAGGAGGAGGAGGAGGAGGAGGAGAAGGAGGAGAAGGAGGAGAAGGAGGAGGAGGAGGAGGAGGAGGAGGAGGAGGAGGAGGAGGAGGAGGAGGAGGAGGAGGAGGAGGAAGGCTATTTAGCACTTTCAACAAGGGTTTGATCCTCGTTCTAATTCTGTCCGAGAACAGCTGCAGAGCGATGAATGCTTGTGGTAAACAGCTGTGAGAAGCCGTATCGTAGCGAACCATTTTTTTATATTGTAAATCAGTATCCAAACATATATTCAATTTTATCGCTCCTAAAAGTATGCAAATCTGTTCACGGGTTTTGTCAGCGTAAACGACCTTGTTTCGTTCGTCCTGCCAGGTATCTTTAGAGCGAGCTGAGTGCCTTTTTATCACTCCTTTAGTTGTTTTCTAGTGATGGGCGATATTCTTTTTTTCAGTCGATTACTTATGTCAATTATTTATGCGATCAGTAAGCGATTACTTTCACCTAGAAATAGATTATGCAGTGTAAGGTATACATTAATGGTGTAGTTCCTCCTCTCTCTCTCTCTCTCTCTCTCTCTCTCTCTCTCTCTCTCTCTCTCTCTCTCTCTCTCTCTCTCTCTCTCTCTCTCTCTCTCTCTCTCTCTCTCTCTCTCTCCCTCTCTCTCTCTCTCTCTTTCTCTCTCTCTCTCAATCTGTGTGTTGAAACCCCTTCCCTCCTCCCTCCCACTCCACCACCCAAACACCGTTTAGGAACCTCAGACTGATATTACTGTATTTCAACAAATCATTTTTGAAACGGTTAAAAGGCTTGAAGGAGCAAAGCGCATTTTTTAACAAAAAAAAAGGAATAATTACTTCATAACCAAGCATTCGCAAAAGAAATAACTTACGCTATCTTGATGAGCAAAAAACAAAAGTAATCAAGAGTTTTAGACTGTTAGTGTTAGATATATATTGAGAGTGAAATATATTGAGACGCTCCTCAGTTCAACCCTGAGTCTGGGAGTAATCGTTTGGTATTCGATTACTGGAAATTATAATCGAGAAATTTCACACTGTAATAGATGTAATCGATGACGCCCACCACTGGTGTTTACGTTTCTTTTGTGTACATTCTACGTCGCTAGCTATCTCCTTTTTAAAAATATTCATGGTACATTGCCTAAGAGCCACCCAGTATATCACAGGCAAAACCTCTTAACAGAAACGAATGAGTCCACAGCTAATACAAACAATTTCCTTAAACATTAGCCGTCTAGGAACCTCAGACTGATATTACTACATTTCAACAAATCATTTTTGAAACGGCTACGTCTTTTCAACCCGTTAGATTGTACAACCACCGACGGGGTGCAGCCCCCCCCCCCCTCGGCTACAAACCTTTCAAGAGAAATTCCACACATCTCTAATTTTCATTTCCTGTGAGGAACAACCAGAACCTCTTAACTAACAATCAGTCCCTCAAGACTGAACCATCGCTTCCGGTGAGGCGTCGAATAAGAAGAAAATATAGAGTATAAAATAAAATATAAACTACGATAATAGGAAAGAACGGAAATACTTGACTTTGTTGAAGCTTGAAGTGGACACCCAGCCACTCACAGGGCTGTTGGGAAAATCAAAGATAAAGGGAAAGAAAGAAAGAATCTTAGAAAGGAGAGAAAGTAATACAGAGGTAGCAAAATGTTGATAGAGGGATTGCACCTCCATGTGAGGTTACGTTTTCCAGTGAAAAGGAAATTGTTTTGTTGACCTGTTTTTATTTATAACAGTAAAATACAATGACGAAAAAGCTCACTGACACGACTGCCTCGCCAGTGAAAATATGAACAAGATACGTGAGCGAAAGAAGCAACAAACACTGCAATGGAGTTCCATGTGGAGGTAATGAGGCGCGTCCTGTTGAACCACGAGAAGCACTTTAGCTTGCACTTGGACTTTTGTGGGAGTTTTCATGTGGCTTTGGTTCTGGATATTCCGTGAGCAAGATGCTTTTGACTGAGCCGCTTGTGCGCTGAGGATGGATGGGATTTATTGGTGCGGGTGGGGTGGGGGAGGTGGGTAGGAGGGAGTGGGGTGGTAGGAGGGGGCGGGAGCGTGGTAGGAGGGAGCTGGGTGGTAGGAGGGGGCAGGGGCGGGGTAGGAGGCCTCCCCTTCGTAGGCGACGTTGGCGACGTAGCCGTTGTCGTGATCGGCGGTGAATTCCACGATCTCGGTTCGGCCGTCGGGAAGAGCCACGCTGTACGATCCGGAGGTGACGTGACCGTCGCTGGTCTGGGCGTGGGCGTAGTCGTTGCCCGAGTAGTCCCTGACGGCGTAGCTGAAGTCGAAGGGCATTCCTGGCTGCTTGTAGGTCGGGTGAGGAACACCGTAGACGGGAGGAGAGTCGGGACGGGGGATGGCGGAGGCCACAGCCACGAGAGCGCCCACCACGAGGATCAGCTGCGGGACGGAACAGGGAATTCCAAGTTAAAATCCACAATCTCGACGAACGCCATAACAGAGACATAGGAACTTTGTAGGATAATAGGAAATTCCCAAGGAAAGGCACTTCGATTTAAGGAAACCCCTTTTTATATAATCTGAATAAATCTTTTAGAATCAATAACAAATAAGAAGAAATGAGTGCAATGAATAAGTCTTATGGCGGAAAACTTCTAGTTAAGTACGTCTTGTCACCATATCACCGATGGTCTACTTATTTTGCTGATAAATGGTATTACGAAGTCAAAATATTACATAGATTATGAAATTGAGAATCGGAAGGACAGGATATAATCCGATTAAATATTTTAGAATCAATAACAAATAAGAAGAAATGAGTGCAATGAATAAGTCTTATGGCGGAAAACTTCTAGTTAAGTACGTCTTGTCACCACATCACCGATAGTCTACTTATTTTGCTGATAAATGGTATTACGAAGTCAAAATATTACATAGATTATGAAATTGAGAATCGGAAGAAGGGACAGGGATATGGGAGGGAGGAGGGAAGGATAGAAACGAGAGTAAGAGTTCTGATAGCTCGAGAGCCTAAAATGTAAAAATAAAAGAATATATAAATATTCTCAAAGCTGCTCACTTTCGCAGACATGGTGTGAGTCGCAGAGGAGCTGAGTAAGCTGTGATGCTCGGCTGAAGGAAGAAGCCCCTTTTATACTCATCATGCAAGTTGTGACGTCACTGTTACTAGCACTGAATACTACGAAGGTAAATGACAGTGACGAGAAAGCAGTTATAAAATGTCAAATAATGATGTGAACAATAAAGTGATGATGCTCATGGGATTAAGTAAGTGTTAATGATACCAAAACAAAATGCGCTAAAAAAATCATAGTCATCAGGTGATCCTGGAATGATAGAATGGTTTATGATTATAGAATAACAAACATGCTTCTGATGCCAGGAACAGTAATATTAACAGATTCACATGAGTAGAAATAAACAGCCACAGTAAAAAATGAAACTGAAAGCATCGTTTCGAATTCGTCAAGAGTTCCTCAACAGATGAAATTTACTACTTCGGTTATTTGTTCGTCTGATGAGGAAGTCCTGGCGAGTTCGAAACATTTAATTCCTTTTCTTATTGTGAATATGTTTCCATTTATCTTTGTGCACATTCCAATACTACTGCTGATTATAATACTGACAATATTATTGATAGTGATGATAATAATAATAATAATGGAAATAGTAATACTTATGATGATAATACAACCTGTACCAGTAATGAAAGCAATAATGACACCAACGATGATAGTAACGATAATAGTAATGAATTATAAAAATGGCAATATAATCAAGGATAATCAGAATGAATGTCTCGCAAAACAGCAATGCCTTTTGAGTTTTGCGTAAACTTCAATATAATAGCAGACTGTTGTATTTAGGATTAAAAAATGTCTTTCAACACATCCGCTGATGCAGTTTCGTTCTCTCATCATTAGTTTTACTATGGTGATGACGATAATGATAAAATGAATGATCATGATATTGATAATTATGATAACAATAGTAATGATAATAATAATAATAATGATAAACATAATTACTCTTATCAGCATCACTATTGTTATTATAAAACCTTATCAGTGCTACCACTATTGCCTTCATTACCACAATCACCATGACACCACAACCCTCACCACCACCACCACAATCACCATAACACCACAACCCTCATCATCATCACCACCACCACAATCACCATGACACCACCATCACCACAATCACCATGACCACCACCACCCTCATCATCACCATCACCACTCTCACCACAATCACCATGACACCACCACCCTCATCCTCATCACCACCATCACCACAATCACCATGACACCACCACCCTCATCCTCATCACCACCATCATCACTCCATCACCACATCACCACAATCACCATGACACCACCATCACCACAATCACCATGACACCACCACCCTCATCATCACCATCACCACTCTCACCACAATCACCATGACACCACCACCCTCATCCTCATCACCACCATCACCACAATCACCATGACACCACCATCACCACAATCACCATGACACCACCATCACCACAATCACCATGACCACCACCATCGTCATCATCCTCCCGCTGGGTCCGCCTCACGTGATGGTGCCTCTCCCGAGTGTGTCCTGCAGGTTCAGTCCACACGATCACTCACTCGCGTTATCAAGACTGGCTGCCTCCTCTTTGCAATCCTATGAAGGTTTTTTTTTCTGCCGAAGCGCTTCTATATTTGCCATTTCCCAATGTTTATATTTGTCATTTTTTGTGCTGCATCTAGATGGTGACAGATTATTTATCTCGATTAGACACCTTATCGTTGCAATCTACAGTCTGCAATTCTGTGGAGTAACAATAGCAATAAGTAACATAGTGTTGATTCTGTCACTTTTTTTTTCCGTGACACGCCCTTCGTCGCAGATCACGATGGGCAGGAAAGGGATCCTGAGCATGGAAGCAGCGTTCTCCCTGGAGCCGGCGCTCGACCAGCCTTGGCTCACGGATGGTACAATTCCAGCCTCCTTTACCGGTGTAGATAATGCAAGAGCCACCATCACCACCATCATCATCGCCACTACCATCATCATCACCACAATCATCACCATCATCATCGCCACTACCATCATCATCACCACAATCATCACCATCATCATCACCACTATCACCACAATCATCACCATCATCATCATCATCACCACCACCACTGAGTGCCCACGGAGCTTAATAATCCTCCAAGATCTTTGTGCTCCTGACGAGTCTTTCCCATCACACCGACCAACAGCCAATTTTTTCATGACATTATTGTTACGTCAACTGGGTCTAGAGAGTATTATTGTCATTATTATTATTATTAGTAGTAGTAGTAGTAGTAGTAGTAATGTTGTTTTGTTGTTGTTGTTTTGTATTATTATTATTATTATTATTATTATTATTATTATTATTATTATTATTATTATTACTATTATTATTATTATTATTATTATTGTTATTACTATCATTGTCATCATTATTTGGTTATCATTTCCATTATTATCATTGTCAATACTATCATTATTATTATCATTGTCATTATTATAATAATTAACCTTATCACTGTTATTATTATTATAATTACCATTATTATCATCCTCATCATCCTAACCATTGCTATAATTTAGCCTGACACTGAAACTCTAGGAAGAATCCAAATTGTGCAAACTTGACATCAAAACCTGATTGGAAGAAGAAAAAAAAGACGAAGTAGAAAAGCGAAGAAAGAAAAAAGAAGAAACGAGAGAAGGAGAAGGAAGAAGGCTATTTAGCACTTTCAACAAGGGTTTGATCCTCGTTCTAATTCTGTCCGAGAACAGCTGCAGAACGATGAATGTTTGTGGTAAGCAGCTGTGAGAAGCCATATTGTAGCGAACCATTTTTGATATTGTAAATCAGGTTATAAATATATATTCATTTTCACTGCTCCTAAAAGTACCCAAACCTGTTCGTGGGTTTTGTCAGCGTGAACGACCTTGTTTCGTTCGTCCCGCCAGGTATCATTAGGGCAAGATGAATGTCTTCTTATCATCCCCTTTAGTTAATGTGTTTACGTTTTCTTTGCTCCAATCTGAGTGTGGATAATATTTGATTTGTGTACATTCTACGTGCTTGGCTTTCTTTTTAATATCCATGTTTTATCGTCAGAAAGCCATCCGCCATACCATAGTCAAAGTTCTTTCCTAAGGAAGCATCAATTGTAGTGTCCGGCTGCGTGCGGCGCCGTCACAACCGTCAAAAAATTATTTATTTACTTAGCCCGTCGGCACCCTGCGTCAGGATCTATACCTCTTACTCTGCCACTTATTTTTATGTTCGCCTTCAAGAGATACTCGAAGATCCGTATACCTGCAGAGGATCCTCCATCCTCAGTATCCAAACTTTATTTACTCTTCCATTGAGTGATTGAGCTTCTACTTTGGCTCTTTTTCGTGTTTTTATATATTTTTAAACAAGTTCCTGACGTTATTCCTCGCCTGCACCCACGACTCAAGGACAGCACTTCCCGAGGTCCGGACGCCGATCTAGTTTTTATTTCAATTGTGTACTCTATAGTTAATGTTTATTCTTGGTGTTGGTTAACGTACGCGGTCCCGTGATGATCAAATGGACCGTGCGTCTTAATTTTTCCTTGCACGTTTAAACTTTGTGCATACCTTGTAGAAACATCCATAGTGCGAACTCGCCCCAAATGAATATAACATCCACTTAACGATCTTTTAGTTAACCGGTAAATTCACTACGAGTAAAGTATGGTACTGACCATGACGTTGAACCTATCCGATTTATTTTCTTAAGGAAGGAGAAATATCTAATGATCTTGTTTTTTTTTTCTCACCACGTCCACGAAGACACAAGGCCTACGTCATCTCCCTTCTACAATTACACACACGCCTAAAGCACAGCACACTTTTGGCTTTCCCTCACCCCTTCCCCCTTTCCCTCACACTTCTTAAAGACAATGACCCTTTTTTAAGAAATTACTACAATTCAACCAATTTTCAAAACGGGTATTCCTTCCCAATTTGATAGGTTTGACATACACCGACGGGGTATCTCTCTAAAAGTCCCCCCCCTCCCTCCCTCCCTCAGCTACAACCACTGTCGGGAGAAATTTCACACATTTCAAGTGAAGAACGACTAGACCATCTTATCTTACAGCTGGACTCTTGGAGGATCAGTAAATAATTGGTACGGATGAGGCGTCGAGCAAAGATGAAATATGATAATAGAAAAGGGAGAAAGAGCCTGTCTTTATTGATGCTTAAAGCGAACGTCCAGCCGCGCACAAGGTCACTGGGAGAATCAACAGAAATAAAAGGAAACAACAAAGAAACTCAAATAAGAGAGAAAGAAATATAAAGATAACAGGTTAGGCTTTCCAATGAAAATTAAAGTAAAGATCTGCTTTTATTCATAACGGTAAAATGAAATGACTAATGAGCTCACTGACACTGGCTCACTCATGAACACGGCGGCAAGACATGTGGGCGAGGGAGTTAACAAATATTGTAATGGATGTTCAGGTAATGAGGCGCATGCAGATAAAGCACGGGGAGAAATGTAGCTTGCACTGAGATTGTTGCGTTTTGATGGCGTTTCTTGAGTTTGGAAAGACCCTCATTTGGTGTTGGATATTTCACGATCTAGGAGCTTTTGTAGAGCCGCCTGTGCGTTGACGATAGATGGGTTTTATTGATGTGGGTGGGGTGGAGGAGGTGGGTAGGTGGGGGCGTGATAGGAGGGAGTGGGGTGGTATGAAGGGACAGGGGCGTGGTAGGAGGGAGCTGGATGGTAGGAGGGGGCAGGGGCGGGGTAGGAGGCCTCCCCCTCGTACGCGACGTTGGCGACGTAGCCGTTGTCGTGATCGGCGGTGAATTCCACGATCTCGGTTCGGCCGTCGGGAAGAGCCACGCTGTACGATCCGGAGGTGACGTGACCGTCGCTGGTCTGGGCGTGGGCGTAGTCGTTACCCGAGTAGTCCCTGACGGCGTAGCTGAAGTCGAAGGGCATTCCTGGCTGCTTGTAGGTCGGAGGAGGAGCGCTGTAGACGGGAGGAGAGTCGGGACGGGGGACGGCGGAGGCCACAGCCACGAGGGCGCCCACCACGAGGATCAGCTGCAAAAAGGAACAGGGAATCCCAAGAAATTCGCATTCTTGAAGAATAGCATTATGGACGAAGAGTGCTTTGCAAGAATGTAGAAATATCTAGAATACTGTTACTTTAATTGCAGAAAATCCTTTTCTTCAAATAAAGAAGATTTTAGGGGAAATAAAAGGTCTAATTCAAAGTACCAAATGCAGTGACAGAAACTTATACCTAGTGCTTCTGAATATGTCTTTTTGCTACACCACTGACTGTTTCATTTCGGTGATGATAGATTACTAAACGTTGCTGTAACGGCAAAATGTTACGTGGAGAAATACGGCGAAATGGACAGAGAAGGGACGAAGGAAAGGCGGAAAGAAGAGGCTGGTGGGAACTGAAGGAGAGAGCGAGAGAGATATTAATGAATAGGCAGGTAGATGGGTAGATAAATAGACAGAGAGAGAGATTTAATAGCACGAAAGTTTTTTTTAGCCCTAAAGTTACTCACTTTCGCACACATGTTGGTGTTAGTCGCAGAGGAGCTGAGTGAACTGGTGCTCGACTGCAGGAGGAACCCCCTTATATACTCATCACTATAATGGAAGTTTATGAAAAGTGGATACTTCAAAGGCATATGACTTTAATTATGGAATATGAAAGTAGTTTTATAATAACAACATCTTTCTCAAGAATACTGTTATAAAGAATTAGATAATGCCAATAATTTTAAGCAAGTATAACAGTTTGCACTTATTTCTACAATATTCTACTTGCATTGTAATTGGAGTATTACGAACGCAAATGCCACTGAAATGTTGTCTAAAGACATTACTGTTAACGCCATTTATAAGAAAGCCTTAAATTTTCCTATTCATCAGAGTTATTTATATTAGCATCTTTGGATTTCCATCCGCTGTCGCCAAAACCACTAATCATAATATTTTCAAAATTTCTATTTTGACAGCCAGTATATAAAGAGTTTCTTCCCCTTACTGACTATCACAACTCGCCGAGTTCATCCGCGACCAACATGAGACTATGCGTCTACTACTAAAAATGTGTTGTTTTTAGATCTTTACAAGGGCTACGTCGCCAACGTCGCCTACGAGGGGGAGGCCTCCTACCCCGCACCCGCCTCCAGCCCCTCCTACCCACCTCCCCCACCCCATCCACGCCAATAAAACCCATCCATCGTCAATGCACAGACGGCTCTGCCAAACGCTCCTTGCTAACGTAATATACAACACTGAAAAAAGGACGTTTCATAATCAAGCCACAACATTAAAACTCACACAAAGTCTCAGTGCAAGCCAAGCCAAGCCTGTGCTTGAACAACAAGCGCCCCGTTACCTCCACACGGAAATCCACGGCAACATTTGCTGACTCGTTCTGCTTTTGTTTCCGCAGGTGAGGCTGTGAGCGTCTGTGGGTCTTCTTGTCGCTGTATTTTATCTTTAAAAGCAAGGTGATACAAGATTTTTCTTCTTTCTATGTAAAACCAAACCGCACACGCCTTTGCTTGCTTCTTCCTCTGCCTTTCCCTTTTTATATTCGGTTATCAATTATGGCTGAATTTCTCATCTCCCCCTCCCTTTTATTTCTAGGGGGATTAAAAGTCTAAGGCCATCTTTGGTTATTCAATAGATTCTCTCTCTCTCTCTCTCTCTCTCTCTCTCTCTCTCTCTCTCTCTCTCTCCCTCTCTCTCTCTCTCACTCTCTTTCTCCACTCTCTCTCTGTCTCTCCCTTTCTCTTTCTCTCTCTCTTTCTCTCTCTGTCTCTCTGTCTCTCTCTCTCTCTCTCTCTCTCTCTCTCTCTCGCTCTCTCTCTCTCTCTTTCTCCGCTCTCTCTCTCTCTCTCTCTCTCTCTCTCTCTCTCTCTCTTTCTTTCTTTCTCTCACTCTTTCTCTTTCTCTCTCTCTCCGCCCTCGGCCGGAAGCCACATGTCGCGCCGCAGAAGTTTTAAGATCTTCTTCTTCTTCTTTCTTCTTTATTATTTTTCTTCTTACTCTACTCCTTCTTCTTTTTTCTTTCCTCTTTTTCTTCTTCCTCCTCTCTTTCTTCTTTTCTCTTTATTTTTTTCATCTTTTCTTTTTCTTGTTTCTTCTTTTTCTTTTTCCTCTTCTTCTTGTATCTTCTTTTTTCTTTTTCTTCTTCCTCTTCTTCTTGTTTTTTTTTTCTTTTTCTTCCTCCTCTTCTCCTTCTTCTTTTTTCCTCTTTATTCTTATTCTTCTTCATCTTCCTCTTCTTCTTGTTTCTTTTCTCCTCCTTTTCTTCTCCTACTTCTAGTTTCAGCTTTGTTATTTTTCTTCTTCCTCTTCCTCTTCTTCTTGTTTCTTCTTTATTCTTTTCTTTTTCCTCTTTTTCTTATTTCTTCTTCCTCTTTCTCTTCTTCTTGTTTCTTCTTTATTTTTTCTTCTTCCTCTTCCTCTTCTTGTTTTTTTCTTTATTCTTTTTCTTCTTTATTCTTTTTCATCTTCCTCTTCCTTTTTTTTTCCTCGTCTCCTTCTTATTTATTCTTTATTATTTTTTTCATCCTCTTCTCCTTCCTTCATTTCTTTTTTATTCATTTTCCCCCTTTTTCTCATCTCCTTCTTTTTATTTCTTGTTTATTTTTTCTTCTTTCTCTTCTCCTTCTTCCTTAGTCTTTATTTCTAATCAGCTCTTCTTCATTTTTCTTTTCTCCTGAATATTCTTTTCCTCCATTGCTTCTTCTCCATAATCGTTATTAGTATATTGTTTATTATTACATTGCTTTATTATCACTCTTGCTACGATTATAGTGATCATGATAACAAAGGTGATAATGATGATTATTATTATTACTATCATTATCATCATAATCTTACTTATCACCATTAGTAGTAATAGTGACATTATTGTTATTGTCGTTATTATAATGTTATTACCATTATGGTTATGATTATTTTATTTATTGTTATCATCTTTATCTTTATCATTATCATTATTACTATTATCTTTACATTATTATCCTTACTATTATTATTATTATTCTCATCATTCATCATCATTATTATTATTAATTTCATCATCATTTTTATTACTTTTACTACTATTATTATTATCATTATTATTGTTAAGATCACCATCATTATTACTCTTATCGTCATCATTACAATTATCATCATTATTTTATTTTACTGCTACTGTTATTATCATTATCATTATCATCAATATTATTAGTAGTAGTAGTAGTATTTTCATTATCATCATTATTATCATTATTATTATTGTTATTATCATTATCATTATCACTTTTATCATTATCATTTCCATTATAATTATCATCACCATTATCCTTATCATTATTGCTATCATTTCTATTAACATCAATATCATCGTCATAACCAACATCACCAAGATTATTATTACTCTTAATATCAACATCATCTTGAACATCATTATTATAAGTGGCACAAGTAATACTGTCATCATCTTTATTTCGAATGTTGTGAATGCTGTTCATGATTTTTTTTATCTTCAGATTCCTAAGCGTATCATAAATCGTATGACATTTTAAGTTACTTTATTATCTAAATATTACATGAATACCATAATCTCCTGTATGGCACCTTGCTGTTCTCAATAGTGTCAGCAGTGTTTCGTTGTTGATAACGTCATTACATAAAAAAATTGGCTGGTACTTCAATGATTTCATATTATTACAGCCTTTGTAATATCCACTGTTGAAGATCGTGACGTCAGAATTTCCCTTCTGGTGATGAGCATAAACGGGACTTCCTCCTTCTGCCGGATTTCACAGGTCATTCAGCTCCTCTGCGACCAACATGTCTTCGAAAGTGAGTAACATCCAGAAGAACTCTCTCTCTTAGGCTTCGGGCTTTGTTTATCCCTTTCTTTCTCTTATTTACCTCTCATTTCGTCAGTTCCTTCGTCCTCCCCCAGTTCTCCCTATTATTCTTAGAGCTAAGTAGTTGGATAGTCTTTGATATTAACAGCAGGCACTTAGCCAGAAGCACCAAATATTTCGCCATAAGATTGTCATTGCATTTACTCCATCATAGCCTTTTTTGCTGTTGTTTCTAAAACATGTATTTACATTGTTTAAAAAGGGATTTTCTGCAATTTAACTGCCCCGCCCCGACTTTCCCCCCGTCTACGGCGTTCCTCCGACCTACAACCAGCCAAGAGTTCCCTTCAATCCTGGCTACGCCCTCGGTGACCTGGGCAGCGACTACGCCCACGTCCAGACCAGTAGTGGATCCGTATCGTTTAACATGCCTGTTTACTAAGGCTCAGATCGATAAAATCCATCCTCAACGCACAGGCGGCTCAGCCAAAAGCTCCTTCCTCTCGAAATATCCACAGCCAAAGGAAGGACTTTCTAAGCTCAAGCCACGCCATCAAAGCTCAAGCAAAAGTCACGAGACAAGTGAAGTCACGTATAACGCTACAACAGTGCGTACTTCTTTACCTCCACGCGGAAATCAATGGTACCATTTTGCTTCCAAAGGTGAGGCGTCTTCTTGTCGCTGTACTTTACTCATGGAAATAAAAGTTACTCGATAAAAGATTTTTTTTTAATACATTGTAACCACACACACCTCTTTTTTCTGCCTTTCTGACTACCCTTTGTTATTTTCTTTTATTTCCTTTTACTAAGATTCTGTCACTGACCCCTTGTGTGGCTGACGTAGGTGTCCGTGGGAGGAGCCCTTTTGTCACACCGTCAAAGTGGCGATTCCCCGGGATGAAAGGCATAAGGGCCAGGATAGGTGGGCCCTGTTTACTCCGTAAAACAAAAACACAAACAAAAAACAAAGGTGAAAAGTCCCTTACAAGCCCTCATGAGAAGAGTGGGGTGTCTGAGGAAGCAGTATAGTTACTTATATCTAACACTGCACGTTAAAAAACTCCATGGGGAGTAGCACACAACACACGTTCGGCTTGGCACTCTTTATTTTGACAAAATGGCCCCTTTAGATAGGCGGGAGGGTAGACAGTGCGACCATCAACTTTCTGTTAAAAATCATCTGATACAACCTTTACACAAGGACAGGTAATGGGTTACTACAAAGTATAATACATCAACTTTCTAAAAGTAACAGAAAGTGTAGATACAAATATCTATAACATTAAATGAGTATCAAAAGAGATACCGTAAAAACGCTAAAAAGAATAGGTAATACTAGTAATCAAGCTGAAAAAATTGACACTAAACTACATCAAAAACGGCCCTTAGTACGAGTAGTAAAGACATACCGCGAAAATTTACAATTATCAACTACAAGAACACACACACAAAAAAAAATTGACTTCGCCATGGAAAAACTAAAACTAAAACGACTAAAAATGAAATTCGAAAGAAGAACTCACATTACATAACATTCAAATTCTAATACAACGCGAAAGTAAAAACTGCAAAACTAAGCGGCAATTCAGTATCATGAAGCTTTGTAGATCTAAAATCACTGATAAACAAATCACTAATAAACAAATCTATACATTCGACAGGGAAATCTTATCCTGGACTAGACGTGTGTACTTAGTTTACGCCTATATACCCTGAGAAACGGGTACATAATGAACAAATAGATAGGTTAATTAAGAAAGGTTAAATTAGGAAAAAGAAAGGGGAAAAATGACAAGGATAGCAATAAATAGGACAAAAAGGAAAAGAGGGGAAGAGAAAGAGGAGTGAATATGTATAGGAGTGTGAGTGAGTGAGTGAGTGTGTGTGTGTGTGTGTGTGTGTGTGTGTGTGTGTGTGTGTGTGTGTGTGTGTGTGTGTGTGTGTGTGTGTGTGTGTGTGGAGAGAGAGGGAGGAGGAGGGATAGCAGCAAGAGTGAGGGAGTGGTAGAGGAAGGAGGAGGATGAGCAACAAGGTTGAGTAAGTATGGGAAAGAGAGGAGGAGGGAGAAAAGCAAGGGTGAGTGAGAGGAGGAGGAGGCGTCAGTTGCAGATCGCTTGCAAATACCTTGACAAGAAACAACATGCACTTGCCCTCGCCGGTGCTGGTTGCACTCGCTGATCGCAGAGAATGCAGCTGTAAGACAAGATGCTCTGGCAGTTTCTCACAAGAAGCTGATGTTCGTGCTGTGTGAAATCTCTCCTAACAGACGTTTTCGCAACATCTTGAGGGACCTGACGATCGATGATATAAGATCTATCAAGTTGGAAAGATATAGCCGTTACAAACATGATTTGTTGAATTGCAGTGATTTAAGCATTCATTGTTTATATCTTTTAAAGGAGTATCCTCATTGGCTGTCGACCATTTGAAGGCGATTTATCTGTTTCTTGATCAGAAGATTTTGACTGGCAGACTGGGTGGCTTTCAGACGATGAAAAATGAATATCAAAAAAAGAAGCTGAACTCACATAAGATACACAAAACTGAAACAGTATACACATCCAGACCAGAACAGATTAAACGAAAATACAAATAAAAAAAGCGATACTAATACCTGACGAGAACTGTCGTTTACGCTGCCAAATCCGCGGAAAATGAGTAATAACATAATGGTAATAATGATGATATTTATAGTAACTGAATTGATAACGTTAAAAGCTATTTACGTTGTTATTACTATTATTATTAATATCACTATTAGTGTCATTATTATCATTATTATTACTATTATAAATATTATTATTATAATCATTGACATTATCATTATCACAATTAGCATTATCAGTATCATTATCAGGATTATTTTGATCATTATGATTATCTTTAGTATCACTATTATTATTATTAGCAGAATCATTGTTATTACTGTATCCTCATTATCATTATTATTACTATTAATACCTTTATTATTATTGTCATTATTATGTATATAATTATCATTATCGTTATTATGCCAAGTCCAGTCGACGCTGAGAGGCACAGACGAACCACCAGGAGTGTAGACAGTCATATTCTTATCCTGAGGAAACAGTTTCGTTTTAATTCTAATTCCATCAATCTTTGCATCGTTGCTTGCATCTGATCTGGATTAAACACAAAAGCACAAAAATAGGACTACTTCGCGAGGCATTTTAATTAACATCAATGTTTTTACATCATCATTTAGCTCCTATTTTTTTCAGCAATACCTACTTAGTACCATAACTTTGTTGCTAAAATGTTTTTGGCTGAAATTGTTTGTATGACACTCAATAACTGCTTTCACGTTATTGTCATCAACGTTATTTGCTTTTACAGTGTCCAGCTTGTAACAATGACGTCACAACTTTCATGATGAGTATAAAAGGGTCTTCCTCCTTCATCCGAACATCACAGCTCACTCAGCTCCTCTGCGACCAACACTAACATGTCTGCGAAAGTAAGTAGCTTTCGGTTAAAAAATGACTTTCTAGTCAGTGAATCTTTCTTCTTCCCTCTCTCCCATCCTCTCTCTTTCTCTCTTTCTCCTCTCTTTCTCCCTAGATCCATCTACCCTTCCTGCTCCTTATTCCTCTCTGTCCGTGCTTCAGCTCCGTTGCTTCATATTGTTCTACGTGGCTTTTTGCCTTTGAAATGTTCATTACATTTGTTCTTTCAAAGTTCTCTTTTGTTTAAAAGAGATTACTTCAGATGTAACTGGGAAATATGAAGTGATTTTCTTCAGGATATTTCTGCTTTCCTACGAGGCTCCTGTTCTTCGTGTGTGAATTTTATCTCAGAATTCTCTGTTCCCTCCTGCAGCTGATCCTCGTGGTGGGCGCCCTCGCGGCTGTGGCCTCCGCCGTCCCCCGTCCCGACTCTCCTCCCGTCTACGGCGCTCCTCCCCCGACCTACAAGCAACCAGGAATGCCCTTCGACTTCAGCTACGCCGTCAGGGACTACTCGGGCAACGACTACGCCCACGCCCAGACCAGCGACGGTCACGTCACCTCCGGATCGTACAGCGTGGCTCTTCCCGACGGCCGAACCGAGATCGTGGAATTCACCGCCGATCACGACAACGGCTACGTCGCCAACGTCGCGTACGAGGGGGAGGCCTCCTACCCCGCCCCTGCCCCCTCCTACCACCCAGCTCCCTCTTACCACGCCCCCGCCCCCTCCTACCACCCCACTCCCTCCTACCCACCTCCCCCACCCCACCCATACCAATAAATCCCATCCATCCTCAGCGCACAGGCGGCTCTGCCAAAAGCTCCTTGCTCAAGAAATATCCAACGCCAAAGGAAGGACTTGCCAACCTCAAGCCATACCATAAAAATCCACGCAGAAGTCACAGGGTAAAACCTAGGTGCTTCCTGTGCTTCAGCAGTAAGTGCCTCGTTGCTTCCACATGGAAATTCATTTCAACATAAACTGACTCGTCCTGTTTATGTTTTCACGATGGACGCGTCTTCTAGTCTCTGTATTTTACTCTTGTAAATAAAAGTTACTCGATAAAACTGTTTTTCTAATTACACTGTAACCCCACACACCTTTGCTCCTTCCTCTGCCTTATTGAATGACCTCTGTTATTTTCGTTTCTTTCCTTTACTAAGATTCTGTGACTGACGCCTTGTGGGCTGGACGTTCGCTTCAAGCGTCGACAGACACATTCTTCCCTTCCTTCCTATTCCCTTTCTCTCTTCAGATCTATCATCGCAGTACCTTATTCATGCATTTTTTTTTTTTACTCGTTTTCTTTTGACATGGATCCCTTGAAGTCAGTTGCAGATAGAGAGGATCTTAGATATAATCTTTCGCTTGCAAATACCTTGAAAAGAAACGGCAAGCACTTACCCCCGCTGGTGCTGCTTGCACTCGCTGATCGCAGAGAATGATCTGGCTGTTCCTCACAAGAAGCTGATGCTCGTGCTTTGTGACATCTCTCCTGACAGATGTTTTCGCAGCACTTTGAGGGGTACATAAAACTGAAATAGTATTTACATTCAAGCCAGAACAGATTAAACGAAAATACAAAAAGAAAGGCGATAATACTAATATCGGGTGAGACGAAACAAGGTCGTTTACGCTGACAAAACCCGCGGAAAACGTTCGATGCTTTTAAGAACGGAGATAACGAGTGCTTTAATTCTATTATAATTTGAGATACCAAAAATGATTCACAACAGTGCCACTTCTCACTTAATGGCGGACTAGGTGCTAACCGCAAACACTCTCGTTGTCGCTCTGCAGCTGCTCTCTGGCGACGGAGTTAGAAAAGGATCAGACCCTTCCTGAAAATGCTTGGAATCTATTCTTTTCCTTCTTCCCCCTGCTCTCCTCCTCCCCCTCCTCCTCCTCCTCCTTCTTCGCACCTCCTTTCTTCTTATTATTTTCGCCTTTTTTTCTCTTTTTCATTTCTTCTTCGTCTGCGTGTTCGTCTTCTTCGCCTTCTTATTTTTCTCTTTCCTCCAATCAGATTTTGACATAGAATGAGTTTTCTTATGCAGATGGGATTCTTCCTAAAGCAACAATCTCAGGCTCAATTTTGACATTGGTAATGATAATGATGATAGTAATGGTAAGGAGAATGGTTATGGTGATGAGAACAATAAGAAATTATGGCAATGATAAGAATGATGATGATAATAATGATAATGATAATAATAATGATAACGATAATTATATTCGCAGTGACTGCAAGAATAATGATGGCAATGGTCATCATAATAACAATGATGATAATATTAGTGATAACGATAATGAAGTTTTTAAAATTACTTTTGTGATTATTATTGCTATTATCATTGTTATTATCATTATTATTCTATCAGTATTATGATTACTGACATTATCATTATTATCACAGTTATCAGTATTAGTATAATTATCAGTATTATCACAATAATTATTATCATCACTATCACTGGCAACACCACGTCCATTAAAGTTAGGGTTATATATAAAAGACAGTTTACAGTTTAATTTTATTTATAAAACAAAGTCCCAACACTGCAAGGTCAAATGGCGGTGCTTCATAGACACTCTTCATGTGTCTGGAATTACAATAAAGCATATTTTGAACATTTTGATGTAACTCAAGATCGGACGTGCATTATTTCGTCCCCGATGGTAATTTATCTTGACGTATAGATACTAGTGATTGGCCATTTGTTTAGAGAGGAAGAGGATCGAGTCACCTTTGCTGTATACATCGGCGGATCTGCAATAGATGTTAATGAAGGTGATAAAAGCGTGTTGACATGCGTGGTTATGCGTGGAGGAAATGGAGAGGCTGGAGCGTGGAATACTGAAGGATGACAAGTTATTTGGTAGCTTGTGACTTTTGTGCGAGCTTTGAATGTTGTGGTACGAGTTTCAAAACTTCTTTGGTTCTGGATTTTCTTGAGCAAGAAGCTTTTGGCAGAGCCGCCTGTGCGTTGACGATGGATGGGTTTACTGATGTGGGTGGGGTGGGGGAGGTGGGTAGGAAGGGGGGCGAGGGTATGAGGGAGCGGGGTGGTAGGAGGGGGCGGGGGCGGGGTAGGAGGCCTCCCCCTCGTAGGCGACGTTGGCGACGTAGCCGTTGTCGTGATCGGCAGTGAATTCCACGATCTCGGTTCGGCCGTCGGGAAGAGCCACGCTGTACGATCCGGAGGTGACGTGACCGTCGCTGGTCTGGGCGTGGGCGT